TGGCATATTCTAGGAGGTGAACATTTCTCTCGAGAGTCTCTTACTTTTTTTGACTCAGATAAATATAAGTGCAATTTAATATGGTTATTACCAAATGACTTATGAACCTTCATACTCGGGAAAATTATGAATTTTAATAATTAGAAAAAAAGAAAGTTATTTTACTCCTCACCTGAGGATATGTTTTTATTGATTGTGGAGAAAGGGAAGGAGAGAGAGAGAGAGAAAGAAAGAAACATCAATGTGATAGAGACATTGATTGGTCCACCACCCCCCACCCCCATACATACCCCAACTGGGGATCAAACCCCCAACCTAGGTATGTGCCCTGATCTGGAATCCAACCAACAACCTTTTTTTTGGTGTACAGGGATGCTCTAACCAAAAGAACCATCAGGCCAGGGCAGGAAGAAGGTTATTTAAATGAACTTAATTTTATCTACTTAAATTGCACTCATCTGTTTAAGCCATTATTGTATAATTTGAACTTTCTTCCACTCTTATAGCTAAAAAAAAATCTCTTCTTGGGGTTCTTATTTCATTTAAAAAATGGTTATTGTTTCTTTGGGCTAGATGAATCATTCTCTTTCTTCTTCTGAAAGAAAAACCAATGGCTTAATTGTGGGTATAATTTGACAGGCTTTATTCCTTCAATAGTTAGGAGAAGAATACCCTTCTCCACTACTCCTTTGCTATTTCCAGATATTCTGGACAATTGTGGTGACTTATGGCCATACCATAGTTGGCTTTGTATTACTTTCTGAGGGGAAAACATCCTTTTGGGTGAGAAGTGAGCCCTGTCTTAGCTCAGGGCCTCTCAGATTTTTCGGGGGAGGCCCATGGGCAGTGGTAGAGCAGAGGCCCTACAGCAGACAGCGGAGAGCGGGAGATGTCTGGGAAGTTCTGTTTTTCATCTCTATGCAGTTTTTCTCTCTACATCACAACAGGTGGCCCAGTGGTTATAGAATAACGGTTTCTCCCCATGTGCTCCCCTTCAGCCTCAATAAATTGTTGTCCCAGAGAGATGCTGTAGGTTTATTTTGTGGCTGCATGCGCCCTAGGCAAGCCATGTAGTACCCCCAAGGTCTACACTTAACCACTTAGAGAAATGTGGCCTTAGCAGCGGTTCTCAACCTGTGGGTCGTGACCATCGGAAAACACATATAGCATATCAGATATTTACATGACGATTCATAACAGTAGCAACATTACAGTTATGAAGTAGCAACGAAAATAATTTTATGGTTGGGGGTCACCACAACATGAGGAACTGTATTAAAGGGTCGCGGCATTAGGAAGGTTGAGAACCACTGCCTTCGGGGATCCCAACCCTATTTAAATCCCAATTGTACCTTTTAGGGCTTTAGACTTCCAGTTGGTCTGGATCTGTCCAGGTAAATCACATATCTAATTACAGATACTAATATCTCTAAATGATTTGCCGTCTGTTGTGACAAATGGCTCTGGGTCTTGCTGTCCTCTCTCCAAACCATTCTTCCTCTTTCCATCACTTGACCAGCACTAGAGCTTCAATTTGCTAAGCCATCCACTTTATCTTTGATCTTCCCAATTTGATTTCCTTCCTGAAATGTTTTTGTAAATGCCTTTAGTGCTCTTCTGCTCACTCATTCCATTGGCTTTTTTCTTCTGTTAGATTTCAACCTCCATCTTTCAGCGTTTCCACTGTTGATGGCGAACCATTGTATCAGGTTGTTTGGGTAGGTTATGCTGTAGTAGCAATACCTCTGTGGCTTTGAACAACAGATGTTTATTTCTCACTTATGAAAATGTGAAGGGTAGATGCGCCTCATGTTGCCTTTGCTCTGTGACCCATGATGGAGAAGTAACCCCTCTCTGGAATAGCCCGGGGCTCTCGGTAGGCAAAGAGGTGGTAAGACTATGATGCTCAGAAGCTGCACGCCACTTCCCCTCACATGGCAAGTCCCACAGCCAAGTTTGATATTAATGGGGAAGAATGTAGAATCCTCCCCCAAAACAGATATGGAAGAAAGATGCCGTGTAGATGTGACAAGAATAAAGTATCCCAGAGCCATTGCTTTTCAAAATTTTATGTATTCAGAATCTAGCACAGTGCCCATCATATCATAGATAGTAGCAGAAAGACTTGTTTCTTTCTTCCCCAAGTTCTGACTTTTTGTAGTGATGTTGCAGACCTTGGCCTGACTCTTTCATTATCTTTACAAGTGTTTATCATCAGCATTTTCTCTTTCTTCTCCTCATCCTTTCTCTACAGTTTCCCACTACACTTTGATGTTTTGGAAATCCAACCTGGGTTGTTATTATTATTATTATTATTATTGTCTAGCTCAGTGATGGCGAACCTTTTGAGCTCGGCGTGTCAGCATTTTGAAAAACCCTAACTTAACTCTGGTGCTGTGTCACATCTAGAAATTTTTTTGATATTTGCAACCATAGTAAAACAAAGATATATTTTTGATATTTATTTTATATATTTAAATGCTATTGAACAAAGAAAAATCAACCAAAAAAATGATGAGTTCGCGTGTCACCTCTGACACGTGTCATAGGTTCACCATCACTGGTCTAGCTCATGGCAATTTGCCTTCACACTACATTTCTAAATGGCTCAGCAAGACAAGGGAAATCTAGAGTTTTTATTTTAAACCATGTTTAGAGATGAGAAAGGGAGTCAGTTGTTTAGAACTTTGATGATTACTGCTTTGGCATCCTGAATAGAACCATTCTGGTTGAAGTTCATTATGTGCTAGCAAATGAATTAACCCTAAGCTTTTATCTGGTAGTACCTGGATTTACAGAGCTGACAGAAATAGCTAGAGCTTAATGCAGAAAAAGAAAACCTCACCTGAGCTTTACATATATTTCATAAAAATAATATCACTATATCTGTACTGTATTAGGAAAATATACTTATATAGAATCCCTTTGGGGGACCAGCATAATATTAAACCAGGCATATGGAACCTTTATTCTGCCAAGGGCCATTTGGATATTTATAACATCATTTGCAGGTCGTACAAAATTACCAATTTAACAATTAGCCTGCTATATTTGGTCAAACATTTAATTAACTCATCTCTAATGCCTTGGCAGGCCAGACCAAGTGATTGTGTGGGCCTTATGCGGCCTGTGGACGTTCCCCACCCCTGTCTTAAACGCTTCTTTTCAGAGTTTCTTTGTATTCATCACTACCTTTAAATTTGATGAATATTTTTATTTGCTTTGTCCTCTAAATATTTTGCATGGCTGTTGCAGAGCTAAATGTAATCTACTTTGAAGTTTTCTATTTAGATATTTTACTTCCCCTACTAGATAATAATTCACTGAAGGAAGTAGGTATTTTCCCTTCATCCCTCCCTGCTTTTTGGTAAATACTAAAAAATAATTGTTTATTTATTTATGACTATTAGAGTTGCTATGTTATTAACTATATTATTAACGATCAAGTTAGAGTTATAATATAGATGCTATATTATTAATTATCAAGGAGGAGTCATTCTGCAATTTTGTTAAATAATTATGCAATTAAAGTACATATACTTTTATATTTTCAGGTGTAGTGAAAGCACACACTGTGGATGCCAGACATATGCCCCAGCACTTACCTTTTCTGAGCCCACTAGATCTAGTTGCAACTGCCAGCAAGGGAGACTTTTTGCCTGAGGATTTTTTCTGGTAACTGGAGACCTCTCTGCCCTTGTGTGGACATATTGGGGGAATCATGTCCCAGGAGCAGTTCTCAACCAATGACTGTCAGGAGCTGATGGATAAATGCCTGAGCTTCTTTGCCCCTCACTGAGGATATCTACAGGGTTTGACACTGTCTCCCAGAATTCCCTGGGGGACGAAGGCCACCGGGGTAACTTGCCTGATATTGCACCTGCGATGGCTCTCTTCCCTCCCCTCTTCACGTCTCCCATCCAAGTACTAACCAGGCCCGACCCTGCTTAGCTTCCGAGATCAGACGAGATCGGGCATTCAGGGTGGTATGGCCATAGACCCTCTTCACTTCTCCATGCCCCTGTTGGTATTTCCTGGGTTAACTCCATATTCAACTACTTGCAATCTAATCCTAATCTCAGAGTCGCAGAGTTTCTAAGGGTAATCCAAAACAAAACTAAGATTCATATGTCAAAATTTACATTTTACCAATTTCTCTATTCTGATTATGTCCAAAAGAAATATAATGCAAACCACATATGTAATTTAAATTGTTCAAGTGTCCACATTTTAAAAAGTGAACAGAAATAGGTGAAATTAATTTCAACACCCCAATTGTTTAACTCCGTGTATCCAAAATATTGTTTTAACACACAATTAATATAAAACATATTAATGACTTTTTTGTATAAAGTCCCTAAAATCAGGTGTGGATTTTACACTTATAATGCATTTCCATTCAGACTAGTCATGTTACAAGCACTGAACAGCCACATGTAGCTAGTGGCTACCATATTGGACAGTGGTGATCAATTTCCAACTGTATGACCATGTGTCAAAACTTAGAGACTTGTTAGCTCTTGCATATGTAAGAACCTTATGGTGGGCCACAGTTTCCATTCTTAGAAAAATTGTGCTTGCTTTGTCCTTTTCTTTTAAACTGAATGAAATATCTGTAAATATCTAGACTTATAAGCATCCTGTTTAATCTGTGTCCACATATTTTTAATATGGTTTTATTGAGTTTAAGAGAGAGAAAGGAAGGGAGAGGGATAGAGAGATAGAAACATCTATGAGAGAGAAACATCATCCATTGGCTGCCTCCTGCATGCCCCCAACTGGGGATCGAGCCTGCATGTGCCCTGACCGGCAATGGAACCAGAGACGGCTTCATTCCTGGGTCGACGCTCAACCCCTGGGCCACAGCAGCTGGGCTCTACATATTTATGTTCCTTCGAGAATGAGCCGCTGGCAGTAATAATTCCGACGCTTACTGCTTTGTACATGTCCCAGTGCAGAGTACAGACAAGCGGCTCAGCATCTGTTTGTGTGTTTTTCAGGCCGAGGGTACCAGACTTCAGCGGGAACTCCGAGGGTACTTAGCAGCTATCAAAGGTAACGTGTGTGCGTTGTTTATGGAATGTTACAAGCACAGGTTGTTCTTGGAATTCACGAGTGACAAGATTGAGTGTTAACTACACCACCATTTGGCTTTCTGGCAAGATGGCACTTGATCACAGGTGTTCCAATCCACCCACTCCCAACCCCCCACTGGAGTGATCATCAGAATATACAAAGAAAAAAAATACAGGTGTCCCCCAGAATGTATACACACTTTCACAGCTGATAGCTCAATTGTGAAACTGCAATGTATTTTAAGAAACACTGCCTTTATAATTATTCAAAGTGTGTGTATACATATTTGGGGACACTCTATATGTCTGCCCTGATGCTGGAAACTAGAAATAAGTGCCTCCCACATGCAAGAGATTTCTAGGAAGAGTTGTGAGAGCAAGCTCGAGAGCTTGTTTAAGAAAAGCTGCAGCTGGTTTATATCCTGAGCGAGAGCATGTCCCAGGACAGTGGTCGGCAAACTGCGGCTCGCAAGCCACATGCGGCTCTTTGGCCCCTTGAGTGTGGCTCTTCCACAAAATACCACGTGCGGGCGCGCACATGCAGTGCGATTGAAACTTCGTGGCCCCATGCTCAGAAGTCAGTATTTTGTGGAAGAGCCACACTCAAGGGGCCAAAGAGCCGCATGTAGCTCGCGAGCCACAGTTTGCCGACCACTGTCCCAGGAGAACACTCACAGAGTCACACTTTAGCCCTCTAGTTCAGCGGTCACCAACCTTTCAGACCTCATGGACCACCAGTGGTCCACGGACCACCGGTTGGCAACCGCTGCTCTAGTTGAAAGGGGCAAGAATCGTGGCAGAGACAGGAGTGGAGAATTATCAGGAGTCACAGCCCTGGACTGTCTGTGATTAGTGGAGACCAGCCACACCTGTACCCCTGCCACTGTATGGAGACAGAGGGGCGCTGGCATTGGTTTCTGCTTCAGCCATAAGAAGCAAAGAAATGAGGCCAGTGGTGGAGGGAGGAGAGAGCATTAGGGATGAGGGTTCCATTGCTTTCTGCCATGTGTCATCCAGCTCCCAGCACAGGGTCAGATCCTAGTGTACCCACGGGTGTGATAGATCACAAGGCAGATTTTGAGATTAGTGGGGAGAGAATGGATTGTCTCACAAGGGGTCTTGGATAAACTGGCTAAACACTTAGAAAAAAGTGAGGTTCCCATCCTCATACTCTACTCCCTCCTTTTTAACTCCAAATATAGTTAAAATTTAAATACATGTACAAAGAGGTATTCTAAAATAATAAAATAAGGTAAAATAAATAAAATAAAATAGACTTAGTCTCTAGTCTTGGGTGACAAGGTCTTTACCATGGTAACCCAAAGACAAAAAACATAAAGGGAAAGATTGAGAAATTTAACCGTATAAGTATATAAAACTGATATATGTATGTTTAAAAAATTATTTAGGCAACACACTTAATGAAAATGAACCAAAATATAAAGAGCTCAGTAAGTAAACTAAATGAAGATGAGCTGAAAGAATTATAGATGTATAAATAAAACCAAAAGGAAGGTGATTTTATTTTTCTTCCTAATGTTTAAAGACATTAAATAAAAATGAAAACATAGTACCTAGCATCAGCAAAGTTGTAGGAGCAGACCCCTTTCAAGAGAGCAGTTTGGCAAAAGTCCTTTTTTTTAAATTAATCCTCACCCAAGGATATTCTTTCCATTGATTTTTAGAGAGAGTGGAAGGGAGGGAGGAAGAGGGGGCAGAGAAAGGGAAGGAGAGATAGAGAGAGAAAGACAGAGAGAGAGACATCAACATCAACTTGGGAGAGACACACTAACTGGTTGCCTTTCACACGCTGGGTATCAAACCTGCAAGCCAGGTAATGCCCTTGACTGGGAATTGAACCTGCAACCCTTTAGTGCATGGCATGATGCTTCAACTAACTGAGCCACCCAGCCAAGGCTGACATTAGCCTTGGTTTACATTTGCAAAGAAGTAAAGCTCAGAGAATTTTACTCCCACAAACTTACAAACTTCATGATTAACTGCACTAAATAATTAACCTCAACTATTATTATTAGAATAGTCCAGTCAGAAAAAAGAAGGCCCTCTATGAATTTCTTTAATTATTGGTTTAGGATTAGTTAGATAATATTTTAAACACAGAATTTTTTTCTGTTAGCTGGTTTTATAAAAGGTGGAAACATTTGTTGATTGAGTGAATTGGATCTCTTCCTCAAAATTTATATATTTTGGTCTAGTTTACCACTTTGTGGAGAATGCTGTTTAAGAAGACTGGCAGAATTCTTTTCCTTAATGTGGTCTAGAAGGAAAGTCCCTTAGTGAAGGGTGAGCTCAAAGAGACACTGGGCGTATCATCAAAGCAACCTTTCACTCCACTGCTAATGGCCACGGCTCCAGAAGAGGGAGAAAGAACTTCTCTGTTCCCCCCCCCCCCCCCACTTCCCCACACCCGCCATCGCCTTTCACTGACTGGGTGATGTTAACAAATGGTACTCCACAAAAGAGACTCAGGTGTACATTACTTTGACCAAGACTGGCTAAAATGAATTTTTAAACAGGTTACTACAGAGTTTATCAGAACCCTTAACATATCAATGCAATTGCCAGAAGGCCTAATGGAGTAGGAGGCATTTCCCAGTTATTTGACTGTGGGATACTTTTTTCTTTTCAAAATCTTACAGTTAGAATTTCTTGGAGCACATTGTGGGGTTTGGGGAACACGCTAAAAGATGAGGGTTATATGATAAGTAGATCACAATTTGCATTTTCAAAGTGCTTTCATGGCCAATTTTTCTGTCTTCACAGAAGGAAATCTAGCCACCTAATATTGCAGGCAGGATTAGAGAGGAACGAGATCGGGCCCTGGAGAGGTTATAAGATATACCATCAGGTTATAAGATATACAAAGGAACCATCGTGGGAAAACCACCAAGTCTCTCATCTGTAAAGTCCTCCACTTGCTCTTAGAAGCCCCCAAATCTCTACCCCTGGGATTCTGTGAAATTGGGTTAAGCTCTACTCATCATCACTTATCTTAGGTGGCATTCTTGGGCTTTTTAAGGTAGATCTTATGCTCTCATTCATTTTAGCAGCAACCATCACATTGAGCCTCACTTATGGGCCTGACACCGTTCTAGAGGATGGAGATGAGAGATGAACAAGACCCAGCCTGCTGCTGGGGAGCCTGCAGGAGAGATGGGGAGAGAGTTGAATAAACAAAAAGGCAGATGTGCATCGTAATATGCATTTTAACAGAAGTAAGCATTGTGTGCTGTTCTGTGAAAAGGCTGCGTGTGCCAAGTGGCACCCAGATGCTGAAGGAGCCAAGAGACCCAAGAACCAGGCAGACAAGTCCAGCCTGTCGATTTAGAGAATTTGATAGGGAACTTACGTACTGAAATGGGTCCTGGGTGGTGGCAGGACATTCCTAGTTCTGCAACTTTCATCTTCTCTAGACCACCCTCCTATTCTGCCTTGAGATGGGGCTAGGTACTAGGAAAGGAGTGTGTGGGGTTAGGGTGAACTGATGAGGGAGATAACAACGAGGTTCCTTGCCCCAGAGGAAGGAGTAATGGAAATTCTGAGACTAGCCCGAAACCACTATACATATTCCAGAGCCTACTCAGGGGTCAAAGGTTAGGGCTCATTCCCTCAAAAATTAAGCTGGTGTATTAGATTCAAGATGGACTCAGTTTTTCAAAATGGAGTCAGCTCTGTCCACATATGTGCCATCACAACAGAGGGCAGAGCCCCGCTCTACTACATAAGGGACAGGATGCCAGGTCAGGAATTTTCTTTCCTAGGAACTTACACTTGAATGGACCAAGAAAGAGAACATACCCGGTCATCAGGTTGTAAGATATACCAAAGAAAGAGGTTGGTGTTGGAAGGAGCATCATGTACAAAAGCTCCGGAAGCAGGAGGGAGCATGGGCTCTTTAGGGAAAAAGTAGATTAATGAGGGGCAAGCAGGAAACAGCTGCATGAGACGTGGAAAGGTAGGCAGCATATGTACAAAGAGGTGCTAATGTATTACATTATATTGGGAGTTTATTCTGCCAGTGGGAGGAAAGAGTGTCGTTACATTATTATAGGCAAGGGAATGAGTGATGTGATCAGATTAGCATATTAGAAAAATAATTGTTGTGGTTGTTTGGAATTCAGGCTAGAGGAAATGAAACTCCAAGGAAACGTAGAAGTCTAGCACAATAAGAATAATAGCCAACATTTATTGAGCTCTTATGTGTGAGGTCCTGACATAAGCTTTAACTGTTTAATTTCATGTGATTCTCACTGCAACCTGTGGCAAGTCCTATTATTGCTCAGTAATGTATGCTTTGGAAAAAACGAGATTTAGGGTAGCTAGGTAATTTGCCTAAGATCGCACAGATGGTGTATGATGGAACCAAGATTTCAATAAAGGCCAATTGATTGCAAATAATAATCTTAATTACTATGCCATACTGCCTCCAAAAGTAGTTTTTATGAAGGCTGGCATTTGACTGTTTGCAGTGTGTTAGGTACTTGCTCAACCGTTTGCATGGATTATTTTATCTCATCTAAGTAAGAGATGATGAGTGCCTTTTGAGGGCTATGGCAGTGGGCCTGGAAGGAAGGGACTTCATCTGAGAATCAGGCAGCATTGGCTTGTCTCGCTGACAAGTTCAGTAGGAGGATGCATGGAAGAGGTCTTCCATGTTTCTAACTGGGACCACTGGGCAATACTCATGAGGATGGGGAAGAGGAGGAGGAGCAGGTTTTGACAGGGAAGTTAGAGGTACTGGTACAACATCCAAGCGGGGACCTGAAGTGAGGACTCACTGGCATATGGGGTGGGGAGGAGACCAGACACAGGGATAATGAACACATAACATCTGTCTCTAAGTCAGCGGTTCTCAACCTGTGGGTCGCGACCCCTTTGGGGGTCGAACGACCCTTTCACAGGGGTCGCCTAAGACCGTCGGAAAACACATATATAATTACATATTGTTTTAGTAATTAATCACTATGCTTTCATTATGTTCAATTTGTAACAATGAAAATACATCCTGCATATCAGATATTTACATTACGATTCATAACAGTAGCAAAATTACAGTTATGAAGTAGCAACGAAAATAATTTTATGGTTGGAGGTCACCACAACATGAAGAACTGTATTAAAGGGTCGCAGCATTAGGAAGGTTGAGAACCACTGCTCTAAACACTTCCTTTTACCTGAGGCAACCCCTGTCGTCTTTTTTTTTTTTTTTTTTTTAATATATTTTATTGATTTTTTACAGAGAGAAAGGGAGAGAGATAGTTAGAAACATCGATGAGAGAGAAACATCGATCAGCTGCCTCCTGCACATCTCCCACTGGGGATGTGCCTGCAACCCAGGTACATGCCCTTGACTGGAATCGAACCTGGGACCCTTCAGTCCACAGGCCGACGCTCTATCCACTGAGCCAAACCGGTTTCGGCTCCCTGTCGTCTTAAACAACTCTTTTCTAAACAATGGGTAAAACTTAAAGTATTTCAGATATTCTATTGGTGGTTTATAGCTGTTTTTGGTTATCATTTTAACTGATATTGTTTTTAACTAAAACATATACCCTTAGGCAGCTTAAGCAAAGAAGATTCAGGTAGAAGTGTAATCTATGTAACATATCTTTGATGATAAAGAGATTTGGTTGCAAATGTAAATAGAGATTGTTACAATAAATGCCTTGGAGAAAGTCCAAAATTCTGAAGAGAGGGAAGTGGTCCCTATCTAATAGTAAAACAGAATTCTTCTACGAAAATCACAAATCTTTTAAGAAAATGTTAGCTATTAGATATTATTAAATGTCACATAGCGTCTATTCTGCTTTAATGTCACCAAATTGGATTAAAGGAAACAGGTTTTAGCTTTTTTCCTCTTATATCTGTCAGCAGAGTAAATTCCGAGTCCCTGAAATCTCCCTGTCAGTCTCTATGCTTCTTAAGAGCAAGGCGTGTGTCTTGTTCACTTGCACATCCATCCAGTACTTTGTATAGAGTGTTCTAGAAACAATTTCTATGTCAAAACAGATGCTTTCCAAATTGTCCATCATACTGAGCCACACAGCCATTAGTAGTTATTTTTGGCTGCTAGGCATATTTACTGCAACATTTTGCTTTTAACCTCAATGAGTAAGGTCATATGAATTTTATTTTAAGCTTACATTCACAGTTTTATTTTTACCACAAAGGTTATTTGTCCTGTGATACCATTACTTCCTTTTCTTCCTGCTAAGGCATTAATAACCTATCTAAACAGCTATTTATAAGGAAAAAACTTCAGAAGACTTGCACATCTAAACATGGGAGAGGGTCGGTCATCCAGTGACTCGTGTGGTCTGAACGGCAGGGGGACGTTGTTAGTGCAGACGCTTGTACTTAGGGAGGGGCGAGTGTGGAAACCTGAGACCATGGTGCTGCCACCTCACAATGACCACACGTACAGGAGAGAGCACCCGCACGCGCTGGGGACCAATGCAGCTGTTGGCATGGTGTTTGGCTTTCCGCACCTTCAAGACTCTCGCTCCATCAGAGTCCCCAGGAACTGGAGTCGTCACTGTTTTTCCCACCTTGCCTGCCTGGGCTTCCTCTTGTGTTAAGGCGTTTCCGCCTGTTGTAAAGGGCTCCTTCAACATGCTCAGTGATGTGCTTCATGGAGCGAGGCCTGGCCCTGGGTCACATTCCAGCCAGTAATGTGCAAAGACCAAATAGGAATCACCTTTATAGGGGGAGGGAAGTGGGGGGGGTTCTGTGCCTGGAGAGTGAAAAAGCACTAGGAACTACCAAATCACATACTGACTTTTATACATCCTGTGCAAGGACATACTTCTGTCATTTCAGACATCTTCTTCTGTTTTGTTTTTCCTCTCACGACTGAACCCAGAATGGACTCCCTAAAATCCAACCAGCATGAGGCTGAGTCTAGACAGCTGCAGCTTTCAGTTTAACAAAAACTTTTCTCTCTTTGATTCACTGGCATTAAGTTATGAGAGGTGTTTTTGCTTCCAATGACAGCACTCGATTGCCCTCTGCTCTCCCTCTGTCCAGCCCCTTTTCCTATCCCCTCGTGACAAAGGCCAAGAAGCCAGCTCAGCCAGGTAACTCCTTCCAGCTGGTGCTGGAGAGGCACTTCTCCAAGTCTGCAGTCAAAGATGCCCCTTGTTTGTTCTCAGGCGGAGCTGTCCATGGCAACCCACACTTCACCTCCTTCTTTTGAAGGAGGGGTAGAAAAGGTTTGGTGATCATTTATATCACCATGTTGCACCTGGAAACTTTATATCTTTCTTATTATTAATAGTCAAGTGTCTTTCTACTGAGGATTCTGACCCATAGAGTTAAAAATGTTCTGTTTTAAAACAGTATATATAGATTTTAATAATATTAGAAAAAGAAAACCTTTTCTTTTCCCCTTTAAAAATTGTTAGGCCACTTAAACCAATTTCAACGGTTATGTCCTAAAATTATGTTGATTTTGCTTCTATCTGCTTCTAAAGAAATGCTTTATTTCTTGTATTTAACGTCATTTAAATTAATTTCATTTTTAGGAGTCTGTAGTTTTATGGACAAGTATTCTAGGTGTCCTATTCATTTATGGTTCCATGCTGTTTAGCAAGTGACAGCACACATAATAGGACATATTTTTATTATTGTTGTTTTCAGAATAGGACACCTGGTTCATATTGTCAAGACCCGATATCTATCATTATCACGTAAATAACAGAAAATGCACACTATAGTCAGATAAGTCTTTTTAAAAAAAATATATTTTATTGATTTTTTACAGAGAGGAAGGGAGAGAGAGAGTTAGAAGTATCGATGAGAGAGGAACATCGATCAGCTGCCTCCTGCACATCTCCCACTGGGGATGTGCCTGCAACCAAGGTACATGCCCTTGACCGGAATTGAACCTGGAACCCTCCAGTCCGCAGGCCAACACTCTCCACTGAGCCAACCCAGTCAGGGCTAGTCAGATAAGTCTTATAGACCCTCAAGCAAAGATATAATTACAGATGCAATTAGCAGTTGTGCCTCCACAATTTTTGCTTAAATGATTAACAAAGATTTTTCTCTCACTTGGAAGGAGGAAGAAACTCCTCACCTGTTTCTATCTAACAGGAGTTGCTTTTCTCCAACACCAGGCATGCAAGAAGCCTCGATGAAGCTCACCGAGTCGCTGCACGAAGTCTATGAGCCTGATTGGTATGGGCGGGAAGATGTGAAGACGGTTGGTGAGGTAAGAGCCAGGATGGCCCCACACAGGAGGCCTCGGGGGGCTCCTGTGAGTCTCCCACCGAATGCTGCTCACGCAGCCTGTTCCCCAACGCCCTCTTACCACTTCTCAGCCTTAATCATGAGGGGACAGACACCATGTACATTCACAGGCACCATGTACGTACACAGGTATGTAACATCTCTGGGCTTCAGTATTCTCTTTTGTGTAATGGCAACAATAAGACTTTCCTCATAAAGCTATTGTGAGAATCAGATGACATGTGTGTACATGCATACGTATTTAACCCAGTGATTTTCAATGGCTGTACCTCAACCGGTGTGCTGCAAGAATTTGTAAAACATGCAGTACCTGACCATTTAGTCAGAGGCACTGACCTTTTTTCCTTAGACTGTCAAAAAAATTAACAACAGCCTACACAATAATAGCCACCCTGTGTGAATGAATCAAAATTATACCTATTTTTGTCAGATCAGCAAAAATATATATTTTTGGTGTGCCACAGAATTTTAGTAATTTATGTGTGCCAAAGATGAAACGGGTTGAAAATCACTGATTTAGCCCAATGCCTATACATAGGAATCGTAGTTGGAATAATAATAATAATAATAATAATGACAATAATACCGACTATTCATTGTGTCTATCATAATTGGAAGGTGCTTTTCCATTATGACTGTAAATTTTCTTTTCTCTCTGTGGAAGCTTCAGCAATGGTTTATTGTTTGTTTGAAGTGGTTTCTGATTTCCTGGAAGGCTTTGGAAGCAGTCTACGTGAAATTCTTCACAGTCCCAAAGGTCGCCTGTGAAGAATGTGGGGATATACATTTTTTAAAAATATATTTTTATTGATTTTAGAGAGAAAGAGAGAGGGAGAGAGAGATAGAAGCATCAATGCTGAGAGAGAATCATTGATAGGCCGCCTCCTGCACCCTGGGCATGTGCCCTGACTGGGAATTGAACCGTGACCTCCTGGTTCATAGGTATGCTCAACCACTGAGCTGGTCAGGGTCAACATTCTTTATAATTCAGCATCAGAAATTTGTTAATGAGCTAAACCTTTAAATAACCTGTATTGTCATTTAGAACTGGTAGCCAAACAGCCTAGAAATTTTATTGTATTATTAAACAATCCACATTCTTTCTAGCATCTACTATCTGGGGACGTATTAGTTATCTAATTTTTTAAAAATATATATTTTATTGATTTTTTACAGAGAGGAAGGGAAAGGGATAGAGAGCTAGAAACATCGATGAGAGAGAAACATCGACCAGCTGCCTCCTGCACACTCTCCACCGGGGATGTGCCCACAACCAAGGTACATGCCCTTGACCAGAACTGAACCTGGGACCCTTCAGTCCGCAGGCCGACACTATCCACTGAGCCAAACCGGTCAGGGCTAGTTATCTAATTTTTTAGTTTCAGAATTTTTTGGAAGTTTAGTGAAAGGTATTCAGTTATCTCTTTATTTCTCTCTCTCTCTCTCTCTCTCTTTTTTTTTTTCAGAAATGTGATGTGCTATGGGAAGACTTCCATCAAAAACTAGTGGATGGGTCCCTGCTGACACTGGATACCTATCTGGGCCAATTTCCTGACATAAAGGTATTTTACTCTGTGTCTATAAAGCTAAGAACCAATGGTCCCAGGTGCTTATTGAAACATGGGCAGGAGGAGTCAAAGACAGTTGGTAACTTTTCATTTATTTAATGAGATATTTTATTCTGTCCTATCCATTTGAAATAAAATGTAGTTAGAAAATTCCATTTTCCCCTTTCGTTAACTGCTTCAGCTTTTCTCTACATAAGTCTTTTTAATCCCATAGCTATCAAGTCAGAAATCAGAGATTCCCACCAAATTTTAACCTTTTTTATTTTGAAAATGTTTTATTATATACCATTTGACAAGAATGTCCATTAGAATAAACAGCAGTTACAAGGAAAGGAGAAACTTCATTGCAAATGTGAGGGCCAAGTCTGTTCTTTCTTTGTGAACTGTTTATTTTGCATGTGTCCATAGCACACCTGCATATTTTTTCTCTCTTGGAATTTCAGTTTCAAACTGAACTACATTTGACCCTTGAACAACATGGGATTTAGAGGTACTGACCCTCATGCAGTAAAAAATCCACATATAACTTTTGGTGCCCCTAAAACTCAACTACAGTTGACCTTGGGTATTCATAGGGGATTGTTTCCAGGACCCTTGAGGATACCAAAATTCATGGACACTCAAGTGCCTTATATAAAGGCACCGTATATAAAACGGTGTTGAGCAGTGCATACAGTTAGCTCTCTACTGCGAATTCAAAACTGTGGATTGAAAATACTGTTTTGATCTGTGTTTGGTTGAATCTGAAAATGTGAAACTGGAGGGTAAGAATAGCCAACGCATATTTATTGACAAAATCTACGTATAAGTAAGTGGACCTGTGCAGGTCCAATCTGTGTTGTTAAAGGGCCAATTGTAATAGGACATAAGCATTTCAAATTCATTTGCATTTGGATCTAAAAATATCTTGTCTAAAACATTTGGCTTATGTGACACTTGGAGCCATTGAAAGGGAAATACACAGGTGAAGGTTTGAATATTGCAGATATGGAATTGATCCTGGAGGTAAAGATGGTTTGTAAACCATCTGGGTTGTGTACAGCAAATGGTACCCTTAATAAGCTGTCCCGTTGCCTAAAATTGTTTTCCCTGATCAAAGAAGAGGGAAAGACAGAGGTAAGACAGCCACTTATTTTCCTTTCTTTAGGCTGAGAAGGCCATGAGCCAGCGTCTGTGGGCATCTGCAATTTCTTATTAGGTGACTTCTGATGGGAAGTTCCATTCTTTTTTAAAAATATATATATTTTTATTGATTTCAGAGAGGAAAGGAGAGGAAGAGAGAGATAGAAACATCAGTGATGAGCGAGAATCATTGAGAATCATTGACGGCTGCCTCCTGCACACCCCCTACTGGGGATTGAGCCTGCAACTGGGCATGTGTCCTTGACCAGAATTGAACCTGGGACCCTTCAGTCCACAGGCCAATGCTCTACCCACTGAGCCAAACCGGCTAGGGCAGTTCCATTCTTACCTGGCCTTCTTTGGAGCCATTGCCAAACATCAGGGAACTAGCTGCAGTAATGTGCACTGGCCTTGGCCATGAAACATAGTGAAGCGTCTTGGCCAAAAGAGCCTTCATATCAATAAATTAGTTTTCTTGGGCCCACCCAGAATTCCTAACACTATTGGCCAACACCTCAAAAGTGTGTTTTGAGATACCAGGGGCACCCGTCAAGAACCTAAGTGGATCAGACTAGATACATTAGCCTTGTTGGCAAAATGTCACAGAGAACAATTCCAAAAGATAGATTCTCAAGAAGTTATCATAACAGCAGCAGAAGGCCATTTTCTAAATATATTGAGCCATTGCCTAAATATATCCAATTAAAAGGTAAATGGCAGTCTTTTTAATTTGATAAAACATTTAAAAATTAAAAACATTTTTTAAATTCTGTAAGACTGCATGCACTAGCCTACAGGAAGCATGTTTTTGGCTATCTTCAAATTATTTGATAATATTCAGATTTTATCTTGGACTTTATAGCATTTGTGAAGAAAATAGTCTTAGAATCATTATCACACTTTAAAATATCATTTACTGCATGGCAATTTAACCTCCATAAAAATAACTTCCCAATTAATTAGAAGAGGATAAAGGAGATAAAGGAAAATTTTGTCCTCGTACTTGAAATTTTCCAAGCAGCTTGGAAATTTAGATGTGTCTAAATTATTCAAATATATATACTCATACTATGACTTTGCAAAACCAATGAAGGTAGTGACTGACTATAGAAGACACATAAGACAAGTTGTTGAGTTTCACAGCAAAAATTTAGTGTCATCAAAAAAATGTGAAGAATCTCAGTTTTGCCCTAGCTGGTCTGGCTCAGTGATAAAGCGTCAGCCTGCAGACCAAAGGGTCCCGGGTTCAATTTTGGTCAAGGGCACATACCTTGGTTGTAGGCTCCTCCCCAGCCAGGCCCTGGTCAGGGCTCATGCAGGAGACAACCAATCGATGTGTTTCTCTCACATCGCTGTTCCTCTCTGTCTTTCCCTCTCTCTTCCACTCTCCCTAAGGGGGGCGGGGGGGTGGAGGAGAGGGGGGATCAATGGAAAAATATTCTTGGGTGAGGATTAACAACAACAACAAAAAAGAATCTTAATCTTAGTTGTTATGGTACTGCCTGGCAATAGTTACTTGGAAATTGGCCATATTTCAGAAGACAAATGCACACAGAAGTACCTGCATTGCAATATGGAGATTAAAATAAAATCATGATGGACTATATCTTTTTAGTGTGTTCCACGTCAGAAAGATGAAGGACTCAGTAGCACTTTTACTTAGCAGCTCTTTTCTTGAGGTCATGCACAAAGATGGTCCTCCAGTTACTGAAATGTCTTTACACTGGAGATTCGGGAATAATGTCTGTGTTGATACGCTGAAGATAAATGAAATATATGTCATGGTTTTACCTGTATCATGGAACGAGGCTGAAACAATCTCTCTCTCTCTTGCTGTAGCCTACACATAGAGTTTCAACCCAGATAGAAAATTGTGCAACCGTGTCCTATGACGAAGAGTTGAGGAAATAGCAATGTTTAACTTGGAAAGGAAACAATTTGGAATTGGGGGAGGGGGGTGGGCGGTAGCTGTTTCTGATACTTGAAAGACTTTTCTTCTCTGAAAAGGACGTTAGAAGTGGATATAGACTTGATTTCTTTAAAAAGTTAGTGCCAAGTGGTTATGGAATGAATGGGTTATTAATGGAAAGGAGGATTATGATTAAAAATACTGAGTGGAGAATTTTCACAGCATGGAACACAGTTGACTTCCTTCCCTCCCATTAAAATCAACAGGCCATGTGTCTTAAAACTTCAGACAAATTTCCAAATATTTACTGCAGCTCATCAGTGAGGTCTATGGAGTACCATTCATGAGGGGATATGTTTGACTTCTCCAACTGTGATTGGCAGGGCACCCAGTGTAATGGTTCTTATAATGCAGCATTAATGTCTGAAACCAATGTTGTAATAAGAGCCAGCTTGTCACTAACCCAGGCAGGCTTACAGCTGTGAGCAGTTATTGTAAAATGTAGTTTAGATTCTATCTAGCGACCAAGCATGAGCAACTAATTATATATTTACAGCATGGTGCCAAAATGAACCTCAAACTGGGGTAATTATAGAAATTTTTAATATACAGTAAAATACTTTTTTTTTTTTTTTTTACTGCATAAGGTCAGTACACAGTGGGAAATCTAAAGAAATTTAGATTGGGTTGGATGGATAAAATAAGAATTGTATCATTTTCTATATAAAAGCTAAAGTGCATTAACTCGACCCTTACTTAGGAGATTTGGTTCTCTTTTTTCAAGTTTTCCAAGTATCAGATAGATAAGGAAATAAGATTGATTTGTTTTTCTAATGCAAAACTGCATCAAAATGAGGAATGGCCTTCAACATAGTCACTTCTACATGGTGAGTTGTACTCTGTAATTGACTTGTCGCACAAGAAAATAAGTCATATTATTTACTCCACTTCTTGTTTTGAACAAAATCTAAGATGACCCAGTGCACTATTTCATCTTATTCCCAGGCTTAGAAGTAATTGAATTTTGGCTGCTTTCGAAAATCTAATTCATCTTCGGAGAATCAAGGTTTTGCTTCTTGGAGCAAAGTCCACAAAGCAGAGCTTTATATAAGTTTGCCTATAGTTACACAAGGCCACTGTTTCAAAGGACAGTTTTCCTTTGGATATAACAGATATTTGCTAAAAATGATTAGCTCTGTCATCCCATAGGCCATTGTATCCACCATATTTTATTGAAGGACTCTTTTTACCCTGTCTGGGCTTATTCATCACATATCTTTAAGTGAATGTGGTATGTCAGCCATACTTTCCACTACTAACAACAGCTGGAAATGGTAGGTACAGAGGGTAAAATGAAAGATATTGGAATGAGAGAAACTTCCCCAGCCCAACTCTCACCAGCCCTGCAGGGGGTGTAGAGGAATATCATAGGGTGACAGATGGTAATAATTGAATGATAGTCTGCCAGAGAAACATGGGAGCTGGTAGAAGAAGTTCTACCAAGAGTTGGGAGTAGGTCTGGGACTGAGTGAGGCAAGTGAGACCATTAGGATGCAAAATGATTAGGAAGCACCTCTTCCTGGTTGGTGATCCCGCACTTACATGATCCTGAGGGTGAGAGCCTCTTAAGATGTGTGCCCTAGGTGTCTCACTTGCCTCACCCTCCTCTAGGCACTGGTGGGTAGGGGAGCTGTTATCTAATTTATCATTTGGAACAGACTTCCTAAGCAATTCTGGACAAATTAGAGGTTAATATCTTCTCTTATGGGTTGTTACTCATTTCTTATGGGTCCTATTTCATAATTTTTTATTGAATGCTTCACAGCATATATAGAAAAGTAAAGATTGAAGTAATATTTATGTCTTTTTTGTCAGACTATTGGTGTGGGAGTTCAAATCAATGTAACTGTAACTTGAGCTGGGTTTGGGTTTTGTTGTCACTGTTACTTTCAGTGCACTCTGGCTTTCAGAATCCTTTATGGCAGCGGTTCTCAACCTGTGGGTCGCGACCCCTTTGGCGATCGAATGACCCTTTCATAGGAGTCGCCTAAGACCATCCTAAATATCAGATATTTACAGTGCGATTCATAACAGTAGCAACATTACAGTTATGAAGTAGCAACGAAAATAATTTTATGGTTGGGTCACAACATGAAGAACTGTATATAAAGGGCCAGAAGATTGAGAACCACTGCTTTATGGGCTATACTGCTTTGTGCTTGTGCAAACACCTATAATGTTTTCAGACTTTTAAGTTGAAGTCTAGTTTTTGCTTCTTTTTTGACTCACGTATTGTGGGCCCATGGATGCCAGAGAGTTTTTCTCAGTGTTCCTGCTCCCCATCAGATTTAAGTTGTCCTTTTATGCCTGCATTGCAGAGGGCATGTGGTCTTTCACTATGAACTTGTCTATCCTCCAGTGGTAGGCAACTATTGCTTGTTTTCAGTACTAGACTGGTAGTGGGAGCAGGGCTGTTTTCTGTTATACTCTCTTGTCCTTGTGTTAGGTAGACTTTACCGTGTACCTGTGGTTGGTCTTGAGCAGTAGTTTTCTGCCTCTGCCCTCGTGAGAACCCCCCTCTGTCATATCTTGGGCACAAGAAGATTTTATGTCTTTCCCACGTGAGTAGCCACTTACCCTCTGTGTAGCAGTTATCTCTGCAGGCATTCTAGGGGCCAGAAGGGTTCTATCCTGTCACCAGAGCAGATTGGTTTTGCTTCTACTTCTCAGAAGCAGCAGATCTGGCCTCTGCAGGCGAGAGGATCTGTTGCTATCTCCTCCAACAGCTTAAAGCGTTTGCTTTGTAAGAGGAAAAGGTTCGTGGAATCGGTTAGGGCTTTGTGTCCTCCCCAAGCAGTCAGAGGTCCCCTCATTCTCCCCGCACTGCAAGGGAGTTTCTTGTCCTCAACCTTCTGATACGTCAAGTAGAGGCCTAAGGAAAGGGCTCCCCATAAATGCAATGTCCCCTTGTGTCTTGACACCCAACTATTCTAAACTACACGTTAGCCCCCACTAAGGCTTTGATGATTTGTTAAAATTTTAGTTGACCTCTTCCTGCCCATTTGCATCTAGGAGACAACTTTTGCCTGTGCCCTGCCAAGGTGAAATGGCTCGCATGTCTCGTCTTTCATTGGAGGGACTTGCCCCTCTTTAGAATTCAGATTACTTTATTGACTTGTGACCTCAGGTCTCTGATACAATCAAGAAAATTATGTCATTATGGATTATTCATATTTGTTCTTGTTTATGTGGGAGGGATATTCTTTGCAGCTCTCTGTGTCCTGAGGGCAGAAGTCTCTAGGAATCCATGTATTTTTTAAGCTCCTGAGATGACTCCAATGAACAAACAGATTGAGGAACATGTCTAAGAAAAAGGATTTTTATTCCTAAGAATCTACTTTAGAGAACTGCTTTATAAATATAGAACTGCTTTATAAATCTGCTTTGTAGAACTGCTGTTAGTGCGAGTGTAATTAGAATTATAAAGCTAATTCCACTATAGTCTTCTGCTATTTTGAAAATAGAACATTTAAAGATTTAAAATACAGGCTAATCAAGTGAATAGGTTTACCTGCTTCTCTCAACCACTGCTAGACTTTTTCTGGTCTTTGACTATAAATTCTGCTTTCCACTCCTCATGACAGATTTGATTTTTATCAGAAGGGAAGCTATTTACCTAATGGTTTTCACACAAATGATTGAAGGCAGTAGTCTGATTTCCAGGGTCACTTATCTACTAAAATTCCAGTTCACCTTGATCTCCAGCTAAGATCTCAGCTACTCTGGACAAAGAAAGCATTTTAGCAGTAAAAAAAAAATACATTTAAAAAAAAAAATCTCACCAGGTCTCTTTCTTCACGCACATATTTTCCATCGGCAGAATCGCATCGCCAAGCGCAGCAGGAAGCTGGTTGACTATGACAGTGCCCGCCACCACCTGGAGGCTTTGCAGAGCTCCAAGAGGAAGGACGAGAGTCGAATCTCTAAGGTAAGGAGTGATCTTTCTGTTGAAACCATTCCATATTCTGTGACCTCTAGCAACTTTGCTTCTAAAAATGAAATATTTCCTTTTTAAAGGATATTGGGATCAGGACGGAATTTAAACTGAAACATGGTGCTTGTGGGCTGCTTTCCATAATTTTTAGTTAAAGATAAGGTTTTTGATATTATTGTAGAGTTCTCATGGGTGACACGACTCATGCATTTTGATCAGAATAGACTTTGCCCCCAGCAATGCTGTAGGATCAGAGAAAGTGGTGTGTTCCTGTACTTCTCTCTGTGTTTGTGCTCCACCCTGATGCTAAAGTGCAGATGCAGATAGGGAACCGAGTTTGAAAATCTCAGACATAACTTGTGATTGAGAGTACAGGCATGTGCTAGATTTGCACAGCACTCATTTCCTTTTAGGAAACCCATCTTAGTAACTTTTACAGTGTGTCATACATTTACAGATGCCACTTAATTGATGACACCTGATAACTACTCCCTTCTCTTCCAGTCTTGCTTCCTCCTATCTGCCTACACACAGCTGCCTGGTCTTCCTACAGCACATATTTAGATATGTTTCTCATTGCTTACGTCTTTTAATGGCTTCCATTGCCTGTAGAAAAATTTTAAATTGCTTAGCACAGCATGTGCAACCATCTCTATTTGGTTGTGACTCATCCCTTTATCCTTATCAACCTCCATGAATTTTTTTCCTCTCCTCTCCTTCTGTGCACACATCCTGAGCTAGAGGCTCCGTGACCTACATATCAGTTCCTGAGCAGCCACAATAACAGCTGTTCTTCATGTGAGGCCTCAGAGGTACCAGCCACATGTTCAACACTTCATCCACGTCACCTTTCCTTAATGCTCCCACCACCTGTCAGTGGGCATTGCTACCTCCATTTTATGAATGAGGTAGCTGAGGTAAAAAGTGATAAGACAAATTCACAAGGTTAGTGCCCTGAAATTCCAACCCAAGGAACTCTATCTCTATGTATTGCAATGCTTTAGCCTCTCCCTTCTTCAAGATTCAGTTAAAAAAATATTGTCTTCTCTATGGAGCCTTTCTTTCCACCATCTTCCACAACAACATACTTTGTAACATTTTACAAGTCCCGTCTTTCAATGTAATTTAGACTTCCCACTAGACTGGGGATTTCTTAGGGAAGCATCCATATTCGCATCCAGAGCAGTGTGTAACAGGCCGTTAACAGATTTTTATAGAATGAATGAATCTGCCAGAGAATGTAAGAGCCCATTGTATTCAATTCAGTTTTCCTAAAACTTAATATTTCACATTTATTGAAAAAAAAATATGTAGGTAATAAGCAGAGTGATTTTTCTTCTACCCAAAATGTTTTCAGGATTCCATAAAGCTATTCCTATTTTATATTAAACTAGTAGTGGCCTGGTGCATGAAATTTGTGCACTCAGGGGAGGAGGGGTTCCCAGCCTGGCCTGTGCCCTGTTACAGTGTGGGAGCCCCGTGATCCATTGCCCCAAAGAGGTAGGCCCCACCCACCCATCTGGGGCTTCTTGATGGATTGCCCCAAAGAGGTAGGCTGGAGCTGGGGGAGGCCTGTGGACCCCTGGGCCTGGCCACGGCAGAGGCCTGCAGACCCCTGATGCAGGCACGTGGAGAGGCCTCAGCCATGCCCCACCTCCCCTCCCCGACGCTGCAAGTCCCCGCCCACCCGTGCCTGCTGCACACGCAGCCTCCAGCTGATTGGTCGTTATGCATGAGGGCACCCCGACCATTTGCATATTACCCTTTTATTAGTATAGATGATTAAGTTGAAATGGCTTATGTTATGTGATTTTTTTTAGTGTAACATATGTTATATGGCATTTCTAGGCAGAAGAGGAATTTCAGAAAGCACAGAAAGTGTTTGAAGAGTTTAACGTTGACTTGCAAGAGGAGTTACCATCGTTATGGTCAAGGTAAAGATGTTCTTGTACAGGTTGTCCCTTTTAGAAGTTTAAGAGCAGTGAATATGCCGTACTTGTCCTTGTTGCCTGTGACAGTTCAGCGCTGTCAGTGGAAGTGTTCTATAGTCTACACTTTCCCACATGGGAGATACTTGCCACATGTGGCTGGCTGTTGAGTACTTGGAATGTAACTGAATTTTAAATTAAGCTTATTTAGGTTTGATTCACTTAGATTTAAATAACCTCACGTAGCTAGCAGTTGCCATATTGGATGTCACAGTTAAACCTTGATATAGTTATCAAGTGGAGACTCAAATCTCAATTAAAGGCATTAGGAGAATTTCCCTTAACCATGAGTTTACAAGGATACCCTCTAACATAGCATTTACACTCAAGAAACTTATTCTAAGGAAATAAATGGGAAAGCTATGCACATTTTAATTCATAAATCTTCATTAGGGTTTGGTTCATCATAGTGGCATATTAATGAAAATAAAACAGTACTCATCAATCAACTTCAGCTACCTCCTCCCATCTGCGCCCACCTTCTGTTTAAATCAGACCTGCTCTTCAGGACAGCCTACATTTGTCTTCTCAAACAGATGTTCACAGCTGGCACAGGGCTCCATATTCCCCTCACCTCTCCAGTTCTTTTAGCTGTTTCTGTCTGATCTAGTTATTATTGATATTTAGTCATGTATGGCCTTTGTGATAACTTTAACAATTACACCCCATCTGGAAACCTGCTTCTTTCCCTTACCGGTATTAATGGAGCCTGTGTTCATTAATCAGTCTCCTCTAATGAGATTGTTAGTTCCTGGAGCCACCTTATCCCACCACCAGGCATGCACCAGTGTTGGATAAGCCCTTTGTTGAGTAATGGAAGGGAGGTATGAGGAATCACTGACTGGTTAACTGGGGTCCTGGAAAAGGGGTGCTGAGTTGTCACATAAAGTGCCCAAGAAGACTTCTCTGCCAACAATACAATGAGTCAGATCCCTCTGCATGGTTGTTGGCATCTGCAGTCTCTCCTCTCCCATGCAGCTTTTGCCTTAGTTACTTTCTCAAATGCAGGTCCAGGCCCTCTCCTTTTCCCTATCGCAAACATGGCCAGAGGCCACCAATAACCATTGCCTGCAGATAAACATTGTGCTTTGCAGTCAGGAAGGTCCTCTGTCTCAGAGCACAGGTCTACACCACCAGGCTCTGTCTCCTTGGCTTCTGGTCTGACTCTCTTTAGTACTTACTATTTCCCAAGCACCCTGTACCAGGGTTTTCTTTATCCTATCTAATAAAAGAGAAACATGGTAATTAGCGTATGACCACTACCCTTCACATTGGCTAATAAGGGCAATATGCAAATTAACTGCCAGCCAAGATGGCGGCCGGCAGCCAGGCAGCTTAACGTGAACATGAGGCTTGCTTGCTTCAGTGATGGAGGACTCCAACGTTCCCTGCCTGCCGCTGCAGGCCTCTGAGCTGCAACTCTAAGCAACTATGTTGCAAATATAGAAGCTAAACAAAACCCCAGAAACCTGCTTTAGTCCGCCGGGCTTCAGCCAGCAGGATCGCAACATTGTTTCAAATACAGAAGGTAAACAAAGGCCAGAAACCTGCTTTCAGCAGCAGAGGCCTAAGAGCTGGAGCCAAGCCTCAAAGCTAAAGCTGGCCCAGAATAAAAAAAAAAGAAAAAAAGGAGCGGTTGGGAGTTTCAGTCACTCGCCAGCCTGAAAACAGCCCTCAGCCCCTCACCCAGACTGGCCAGGCACCCCAGTGGGGACCCCCACCCTGAAGGGTGTGTGACCAGCTGCAAACAGCCATCATCCCCTCACCCAGGCTGGCCAGGCACCCCAGTGGGGACCCCCACCCTGATCCAGGACACCCTTCAGGGCAAACCAGCCGGCCCCCACCCGTGCACCAGGCCTCTATCCTATATAGTAAAAGGGTAATATGCCTCCCAGCACCGGGATCAGTGGAGCCGTGAGGCCTCCCGGCACCGGGATTGGCATGACGGGGCAGTGCCCAAACCCCCTGATCGCCCTGTGGCTCTGTGTGTGACAGGGGGCGGGGCCACAACCTCCCTATCCGCCCTGCTCTGTTTGTGACAGGGGAAGGCGCCCCAACCCCCTGATCGCCCTGCAGCTCTGTGTGTGACAGGTTGCAGTGCCCCAACCCCCTGATCGGCCCTGCTCTGTGTGTGACGGGGTAGAGCCATAACCTCCCCATCGGCCCTACCCTCAATGTGACAGTGGCGGTGTCCCAACCCCCTGATCGGCCCTGCTCTGTGGGTGATAGAGGGCAGCGCCCCAACCCCCTGATCCGCCCTGCTCTGTGTGTGACGGGGGGCGGTGCCCCAACTCCCCTATCGGCCCTACTCTGTGAGTGACAGGGGGGAGCTCCCCAACCCCCTGATGGGCCCTGCTCTGTGCGTGACAGGGTACAGAGCCCCAACCCTCCTGATGTGCCCTGCTCTGCATGTGACAGGGGGCAGCGGCCCAACCCCCTGATTGGCCCTGCTCTGTGCGTGCCAGGGGGTGGCACCGCAACCTCCCCATTGATCCTGCCTTGAGTGTGACAGGGGGCAGTGCCCCAACCCCCCAATCGGCCCTACCCTGAGCGTGACTGAGGGTGGCATCGCAACCTCCCGATCCTCCCTGCTCTGTGCATGACAGGGACCGGCGCCCCAACTCCCCAATCGACCCTGCTCTGAGCCCGACCAAGGGCTGCACCTAGGGATTGGGCCTGCCCTCTGCCACCCGGGAGCAGGCCTAAGCCAGCAGGTCGTTATCCCCCAAGGGGCCCCAGACTGCGAGAGGGCAAAGGCCTGGCTGAGGGACCTCTCCTCCCCCCCGAGTGCACAAATTTTTTTGCACCGGGCCTCTAGTTAATATATGTTTACGTATGTTTATATAATGTGAAGGCCTGAGCTTGGAGCAGGGTCAGGCTAGAAGGGGTCAATGGGGGAAGTGGGAGGACATATGTAATACTTTCAACAATAAATATTTATTTAAAATACAGTTTTGCTCACTGGTCTTTCCCTTCTATTTTTTCCTCTTGGTATCTCCACATGGTAGACGAGTTGGATTCTATGTCAATACCTTCAAAAATGTCTCTAGTCTTGAGGCCAAGTTTCATAAGGAAATTGCTGTGGTGAGTAATGATGATTACTTTTACATATGGAATATAAAGTAATGAAAATTTATTCTGGAAGCAAATGAAGTGGCATAGCATTATACAAAGAATGCGTTCACTTGCATGTTGTTTTAAATAGTGTATTATTACTCTTAGTAATATTTCTACAAATTTTTTGTTATGACCATATAGTTCTCTATATCTGACAAAGATTTTAGTGCGTGGGCATACAAACATGCTCTCACAAATCACTTGCTGCTTTGATTTCTCTTCTGAAATTACTTTTGTCATTGTCACAGTTTCAGAGTTTTGGGTTTGTTTGTTTTTCAATCAGTTTTTAATGTTGGAGTTTCAAGTGATACTTTAAGCTGAGGAAAGTATGTCTCCAAATATTCAGATAATCAGCAGATGTGCTGTCCATTGGTGTTCTCTTGGTTTAGCAGCTAGTTGTTTGTATGACTTTATCTCTAGTAGAGTCCATGTAAACAGTTATTTTTTTGTTTGTTTTCTGTTCTGTACTCTGGTTAAGAAATATGTTTAAAGTTTTATAAGTTTATTTGTGTTTGTGACCTTTTTGACACAAATTCTAACTTTTCAATAAACCTTTTTGGGGGGCAATAGCCCGAGTAGGCATCAAAATGATTTGCAGCTAATAGACAGGTGGCCTCTGTCCCCTTAGCTTTGCCACAAACTGTATGAAGTGATGACGAAACTGGGCGACCAGCATGCTGACAAGGCCTTCACCATTCAAGGTGCTCCCAGGTAGGCCTTGTTCATCAGAGTCACGTTCATGGCTGTTCACTTTTAATGCAATGCTTGTTGTAATTTCTGCAGTCTGATCAGCCTATGCTATTTTACTCATCCTATAAAAATCTAAAATGAAGGAGCCCTTCCATATAGAGGCAGACACCAGCTTTACTAAGTTTTATGCTTTTTCATATTTTTAAAAAAATATATTTTATTGATTTCAGAGAGGAAGGGAGAAGGAGAGAGAGAGAAATATCAACGATGAGAAAATCATTGATTGGCTGCCTCCTGCACGCCCTACACTGGGGACCAAGCCAAAACCTGGGCATGTGCCCTGACTGGGAATCGAACCCTGACCTCCTGGTTAATAGGTTGATGCTCAACCACCGAGCCACGCCTGGGCTGCTTTTTCACGTTTACCTTCAGCCTCCAGATTTACCCACCATGGCCTTTCTCATCTTCACCATAGAATTGACTGTCTGCCTCTTGGCATTCCATGGGAACTAGAGCAATGGTATAAATTTTTAACATATAATTTCTAGTTGTGCACTTGTTCTTTCTTTGGAGAAGAAAGGAATTCCCCAAACTCATAACAGTTAACCCTGATATTTATCGTTGGTAGTGACATACTTAAAGAATCCATTTTCAGAAAGGAAAGAGAAAGTAGGTGAGACCTCACCATCATCTTACCTCCTAACTCCACCTGACAAACACAGCATTGCTTTGCTTGTATTGCGTATGGTTATTTTGAGTGTGCCAATCAAGTAAGTACTCCAAAGGCCCAGTGATCCACAGGCGAAGTATCTGTGTTGCCAGGGTCGTTGGGCTTTATATCAGCTTTCTCCTGTGATTTTGGAATCCCTTTTATTCTGTCCTTCGCAGGCATTATATACTCAAGGAATGCAGGCCTTGGGCTGGAAGTCTAAAGACCCAGTTTTCAGTTTTATGACTCTACATGTAGTTAACATGCATTGCTTTTCTTAAGTCCAAGAGCCTCTCTGGTTAAAGATCTCATTTTTTCAATCAGTAGGGGGGAAAGATGCTATTGGAATAAACAGTGTTAATAGGCAGTGTGACATTCTACATTTGCAATTTTAACATCAATGTATACGTTCATACACATTTATAGAAATACATGTATTTCTATAAATATATAGAGCATGTGAATACATATATTTCTATAAATAAATATATAGAAATATATGCCCTACCATCTCCATCTGTCAGTGTGAGGTCTCTCTGGAGGAAGCTGATATTCTTATCATTGCTCTTTACATTAGCTGTATTCATAGTCTCTGCTATGGCTTCTGTATGTACTAAGTGGGCATGAAGTGTATCTTCTCCTTCTAAGGGAAAGAATATTTCCTAAAAGAATACATGAAAAGGGTAGAGCTACTGTTTCCAATACAGTTAGGAACAAAGTAAGAAGTAATATCAAAATGACATTTGGGTGTTTTAGAAATAAAATACATCAACAAAATTAAGGATTGCTCCCTTATGGAGAGATGAAAGGGATAAATGCATCTGAAAACGTCAAAGTTGATAAGTCAGATAAAATGGAGAGAGTGGGGCCATGGTCATTTAACAAATGTTCCTTTCACGTTTTGTTCAGTGTTCCTCTGCAGAACGAGGTGGTGAGTGAGCTCAGTGGGATCTATCTCAGTTAAGCATAGACTGGGGCAGGGCTTCCAGATAGAGGCCGTGATGGCTAGCCCATGGCCTGGTCCTGGGGTGTGGCCTTGTTCTCACTGTAGCACCCGTTCCCCTGTAGACCATGCTGCTGTGTACATGCTCATTTGGTTTGGGATGCAGGTCCTGTTCCCTCAGCTACAGACTTTTGAAATTCTTAGCAGAATGCATCCCAAATGCCCTCTTAGTCATTAAATTTGAGCTGTTCACTAGCACCTGGCCTGGTGCCATGGCTGTGGTGGGTTGTCGGTAAATATTTCTGACTCTGGTCCATCACGTAATTTGTTTGCACATTTCAAGGTGCCTGAGCCAAGTCATTGCTCTTTAAGGTGTGGAAGCAGAAACAGTTAATGAAATGACTTTCCAAATGGTATCAGGAAGCACTCCTATGAAATTTTAATTAACATTACCCTAAGGATGCCTTTTAACATAAAAGTTATACTTTTCAAGGAAGGTTTTTCTATAGATTACGACATAGCAAGATTCTCCTGTAAATCAAAAGTGAGATTAGTTCATTCAATTCAGCTTATGTTTGAAAGAGTCTTACAGGGCCTGTTTGGGTCAGTGGAAAGATCAAGGGTTGCATTAGTAAGGCCTGAATTCAGATCCAGTAAATTGTCGAGTGACTTCAGGGATTTTTTAACCCCTCTGCTTGTGTATTGTGGTGATTAGAGATAATCTATGGACAGGGTCTGGCACACAGTGGTCAATAAATCGTACTAGTTATTACATCAGCGTTCATAAGCATCAGAATTAACCTGGAAGAGGGAGTAGATAAATAATAGCTGTTAGGGCTCAGGATTTCTCTGGAGTGGAGGACCCCCGGTAAATAAATACTGCTCCTTAGAAGGCCCCTTGCTCACATCTCCTGTGTTCATCTAGTGACTCGGGTCCCCTCCGCATCGCAAAGACACCATCACCGCCGGAGGAGCCTTCACCCCTCCCAAGCCCGACAGCCAGTCCCAATCATACGCTGGCGCCTGCATCTCCCGCACCAGCACGGCCTCGGTCACCTTCTCAGGTAGGAAGAGAGCAAATACATTGCAGTGACTAGAAGAGCGTGTGGTGGGGTGACCCATCTGGGAAAGCCCTGCGGTGCTGGGGCATGGAGAGGAGTACCTGGTTGGGAGATTTTGAGGGGTGAAGCTTTAGGCATTGTGATTGTCACTAAGGAGTCAACTCATTTTTCTTATTGGGATTTTTATTTCCTGGCACACCCTATATCTGAGCGTTTATCTCAGGCTCTCCTACTCCCCTCTGCTCCTATCTCTTGCTTTGTTTCCTAGAGTTCGTGTAATCCTACCTTCTCTGTGAAACCTCCCTCCTGTAGTGCTTTAGGTAACATTTGGGGCAATTTATAGACATGAAAAGCTCTTTTGTGTATATGCGATTTCACACTTTAAAAAAAAAAAATATATATATATATAATTATTGATTTCAGAGAGGAAGGGAGAGGGAGAGCGAGATAGAAACATCAATGATGAGAGAGAATCATTGATCGGCTGCCTCCTGCACGCCCCACACTGGGGATTGAGCCCACAACCCTGGCATGTGTCCTGACTGGGAATTGAACTATGACCTCCTGGTTCATAGGTTACGCTCAACCACTGAGCCACACTGGCCAGGCTTCACACTTTTTGTATCACCCACCCTATATTGTACATGAATAGACACTCAACAAAAGTGTAGGAAGCAAATGATTGAAAGAAACCGTAAAGGCCAGGGAAAGGCAAATATAGAGAAAATTGGCCACCCATTTCTTTCCTACGTTGGGTGAAAATGAAATTCCATTGAGAAATCTTGAAATCTCCAGTGCAGTTCAAGCTTTCATGTATATGACTGACAGTAAGTCGGGAGAGTCCCGGGAAGATGTATGGAACAGATGGACCCTTAAAATCCTTTGGAAAATATTGGAGTGGAAAATGAGATACTTGCTCCCTGTACATAGTCTCACCAATTCCAGTGAAAAACTTGCTTGACTTTAATTTAACAATTTTAATTTATTGCTGAATTGAGAAGTCATTTTCAGTTGCTTCAGAGAAGGTATTGCCTTTGTTACACTTGGAATCGAAGGCACCTGCCTCAGGCCCTGTGTGTAGCTCTTATGTTGGGGTGAATGGAGCCTCAGAGCCCGAATTTTTTTATTGGACCAGGGCTTGTCAGTGCTCAGAGAGACACCCACGCAGATGGCGTTGTTTACCTTAATCAGGTAGGTTTGTTTCTATGTGCAGATCTGCATTTCGGTTAGTGATCTATCTGTCCTCCCAGCTCTGTTCACATGAGATTTCTGCATGTCTCACATGTCATCTGTGGCTGAATTAAGTATTGTTTGTGTTTATTGCCTTATAGACGAGGAAAGGACCACCTGTCCCACCTCTGCCTAAAGTCACCCCGACAAAGGAACTGCAGCAGGAGAACATCATCAGTTTCTTTGAGGACAACTTTGTTCCAGAAATCAGCGTGACGACACCTTCCCAGGTGAGGGCCTAGTACAGAGGTGGGATGTCCATAAAGTAGCATGGCGGAGGGACTCTCAGGGGCCAGTTCTAAAGAAAGTGCAGAGCCCCAGTCAGTTTGACTCAGTGGTTATAGTATCAGGACTGAAGGGTCTTGAGTTTGATTCCATTCAAGGGCACATACCTCGGTTGTAGGCATGATCTCCTGTCCCAGTTGGGGCATGCAGGAGCCAAACAATGGGTATCTCTCTCTCTCACATAGATGTTTCTCTCTCTGTCTCTCCCCCTCCCTTCCACTCTCTGTAAAAATCGATGGAAAAGATATCCTCGGGTGAGGATTAACAAAAAGAAAGAAAGTGGCAGATATTAGAGCCAGCAATATAATTTCAGTTGCTATTCGGGTTTGCTTGTCTAACGCATTTTCAAGTATTTGAAAATGCTCACATTATTTTTGATTATTAAGATTAAGTAGCACATACTTATTGTAGAAAATGGGAAAATACTGAAAAGTGTAAAATGAAGAATTCTAATAATCACTTAAAACATACCACTCTGATTTAGTCACAAATATGCTTTGACTTGTTTCTTTTGGTCTTCTTCCCACCCCCACCCCCCGCCACCCCCAGTTATATACTGATTTTGCCCACAGTACTCAAATTGTATTGTTATGTACTCCTGACTTTTCTATGTAATCTCACTGAGCATTTCTTCATGTCATAGGATTATCTTTTTTTTTTTTAATGTTTAACCAAGTGTATTCTATTGGGTGGCTTTAGCACCCTCTGACTGTGACCATAGTTTGCTTTTGATTTTTCCATGATTTCGCTGGCACTTTGGTGAACATCGATAAATGAAGTCATGTTTGCACCTTTATGGCTTCTTTTCTATGATTGCCCAGTAAAGAATGGGAAGATGAAATTAAAGAGGTGAATACTTAAAGTCTTCTGCCCTTCAGCAGGCTTTAATGTATCTGTGCACATGGTTTGGCAAATGGAACCATCAGGGTTGCCCTGGATTTCAAAGACACCTGGTGCAGGTGCTCCACCCTGGTTACCGTCAGGGGACTGTAGTCCTGTCTCTGCCAGTGGCTTGGCTGGCCCATTGCCTTGAGAATGGTCTTGACTTCCAGAGCTGCTCCTCCTGTCATCGAAGCCAACTCTTCGTTTTAAGAATGAAAAGTCCCCAGTCATGCCAATATCAGTCCTCCCAGTGTTCTCAGGATTAGCAATCATATTTACATTTTGCGAGATGTGTGAATGCAATACTTTAGTGACTGAACACATCCATAGCAACACTGCATACTACAGCCTAATTATAATCACATATAATAACAGAAGTAATGCACTGATATCAGGGGGTTCAGCAAGTAAAAAACAGTGCGGTGGCAAATCATAATTTGTCATCCTTTTGGGGGGCCATTTCTCAAGAGACACAATGCTTTCGGCTAATTTTTTTCCTTCTTCTGTATGAAATGCTGTATTTGTGTGAACTGCTGAATTTTGGTAAGCAACCTAGGGTTTGAAACAAGATTTAGCAGGTCCTGTGAGGAGGGGGGGTTGCATGTTTATCAGCACAAGGACAAATCATGCCTGTGGAGACACAGATGCTGCCAGGAATAGCTGTCTGGAACCAAACGATCTTACTCAACACCCTGCTGGCACCAAACTTGAGCTGCTTGCTAACAGCCCAGCTTCATTCTCTGTTTGCTACAGTTTCCAGTCAGAGTGTTTAGGGTGATAGCGTTCTTACTCTGACGTTGCTTTCACCTGGACCCTTGGAGAACATCCTTCCAATTGTATCACAAAGCGAGAACGTGGCCACCTAGGTACCATGTGTGCTCAGCTAAGGACACCTCCTTTAGCAGTCGAGGCAACTGAAGTAGAGGAAACATGACACATGGACTAGAGCCGAAATAAAGATGGGGCTCCAGCAGTTTGAAATGTGTTTATTTGCAGTTTGCTGGCTCATAGATAAGGGTCCTTCCTGGTGAGGGGGGAAAAAGGGTCAAAGCAGTTTTTAAAATTACAAATGCCCGAAGAGGCCTCTCAGTATTTCTGAGCATTAACTTTCGCTGGTATTGTTGAGGGAGTGTGATAGGAAAAGTCAAGAGTTGGGGGAGAGGGACAGCAAGCACCTTTCAAAACAGAACCTTCTCCAGCCGCTGCTGCAGGGAGACAGTAAGCTGGTAGAGCACTTGCTGGCGTGGCCAGTCCTTGTGCAGACTGCGGAGTTGTTGGGAAGGGAGGGGGAACCTCTCCGGCCCAGTACCCTTTATAACTCACTGGCTGTACGTCACATCCATCCATCTTATCAATCTGCCAGGAGATTTTGCAAAAACTACCTACTGGAGACATTTTGGGGGTGCAGTTTGGGGGTTCCGTTTCCTTTATATGATTTTCTTTTAACATGGGGAGGAGGCAGAAAGGCGTTTCTGTCATTTTTTCTGAATCTGAGAAGCAGCATGGCCCTAGCACAGTGATGGCGAACCTTTTGAGCTCGGCGTGTCAGCATTTTGAAAAACCCTAACTTAACTCTGGTGCCGTGTCACATATAGAAATTTTTTTATATTTGCAAGCATCGTAAAACAAAGACTTATATTTTTGATATTTATTTTATATATTTAAATGCCATTTAACAAAGAAAAATCAACCAAAAAAATGAGTTTGCGTGTCACCTCTGACACGCGTGTCATAGGTTCGCCATCACTGCTCTAGCAAGTGGACACATGGCAGCATTTCCATGGACTCAATGGCTGTTAGTCTCATGTCGTGATGTCAAGGGAGGGAGTGAAGCAAATTTTCATATTTCAATCACTTTTTAGCTTCTTGAGTGACATAATCTGGTTTTATTTTAAAATGTACAGGTGCTGCCTTTCCGTGGCGCAGCCTAACAATTCCCTTCCTTGCTTCTTCCTCGGTAGATAGGATGTAGCCATTTTGTGTTGCTTTAGCCGTTTGGGTCCCACCCAGCAGTGTCTGATCAGCAGATCTGGGCTGGGGGCCAAGCATCTGCTTTTCTACAAGCTCCCAGGTGATGCTGACACTGCTGGTTTTGAGATCACACGTGAGAACCACTGTTTTACAGCATCAGGATTCCTTCCACATGATACAGTTTTGTGGCTATGAACAAAGTACCACAGCGAATTAACAGATTTCTTCCAGGGCAAAAGTCAACTGGGTCAAGTGTATGTCATGATGGACCATTTACAATTGTCCATTTAAATATAATGTGACTTTACTGTACATGTTCTGTACTTAGGGCGACTGGACTTAGACACGTGGACATGTGTGCTTATGATATTAGGTATATTGATCTGATTATATGTCAAGCTAAATATTCTCAGTGAATGGATTATCTCATCAGAATGGTGGTGTTTTCAGTCATGCACAGAGAAACGATTCAAAAATAAACAGAAATTTCAGGAGAAAATGAGATGCCAGCTGCCAAGAAGCAGAGCATCGAAAGCTAGGAAGCTGAGATGCACCGAGAAGGTTTTCCCGGATGCATACGTGACATTCCTGTGATCTTCAGGTCATTATCCCTATTTCAGAGATGAGCAAATCTGTCCTCTTTCTGCGACACTGTGTGGCTCCAGGGCAGACATAAACAGGCAACCCCTTTTTGCTCTTTGTGTAATTCTATCAAATTACTCTTTGATGTGAGTGTCTTAAGGTATAACTCTCAAGATTAAGGGGAAAAAACAAATATACATTGAGCCTGAAAAAAATCAGCTACACATTTTAAAGGCAACCAAACTAGTATTATGGCTATTTGATAATAATTTTACATGGATATACATGATTACTAATAGTAATTAACTACATTAGCTTCCATTTCCATGTTGAGTATGTCCTATATTTTATGTACAATGTATTTGTTGTCTTTGTCACTCACTCTTGGTAATCTTAGTAGATAAAATTATTTTCATTGTATGCATGAAGCTCAATGAAGCTTAATTAATTGCTCAGAGAGACGCAACTAGTAAGTGGCAAAATTGGGCTGCACACCCAGATTTATTTATCTCAATCAAAGGCTCAGCATAGCAATTATAGTCTAATGCCTCTTCTCACCCGTGATCTCTAAATTCCCATTTGAGCCTCCTTAAGGGGGTCCATTAGGCTCATAAGGGACTTGGATATATTTGTGCAGCCTGAAATGTTATGGAGGACTCACAGAGCATTGAGAATTCCTCTGCAGATCTTGAGGACCCCCGTTAGAGAGAGGTGGGGGCGGATCTCAGTGGCAGCTTGGAAGAGCATGGGAGTCACAGGTATCGGACTGCTGTATGGGTCAGCGGTGTTGCAGGCGGGGACCCAGGGCCATAGATAACGTCATTCAGCAGCTCAGTCTCCTCATCTCCAAATGGGAAAAGGATGCCATCTGCCCTTCAATTTTCTGTAATGATCAGACAAGCCAGGTAAATCGCGGATTGGGGAATAGAGTAAAGTAATTCTTTTAGGGCAATGGTGTTTTTGTCATTAGACTGCAGCAAAGTGCATGAACACGAGTTAATGTTCATAGGTATAAAATTATTACCACAGTGCCTGCCTAGCACATTCTAAGTGTAATATGTGTTTTCATAATGTTAGAAATGTAATTTGTACCAACCAATATAAAAGTCGGTGACAAAACTCATGCAGACTTTGAAGAGGGGCCAAGGGAATCAGTTGACAGTTTTGTGACTGTGACTAGTAAAGAAAGCGGGATCTCAGTAAAGCATTATCCTCGTGAAATTTAAAAAGTATATATGTGAGGAGTAATCATGCTGCAAAACAGATAACTCAAGAAAGAGCTAACATCATGATATTTAAGTAGATTTCCTTCTACAGTGAGTGTAGATAAACTAAAAAAATATATATTATCTATTATGGTCCCAAGCTTTCCATACATTCCTGAGTTAAATTATTTTATGTTTATGACCGATATTAATTAAAATAACTCCTGTTCTTTAAAGTTTTTCTCTACATAGCTGTGTTCTCATATAATACTTTATCCATTGTTGTGAAATTTCAATTTATACAACAGATGGTCAAAATTGAAGCTTATATTAAATATCAAACACATGTAACTTGAATTGTGTGAAAACCAATCCTAATTCTCTTTACCATGGTCTAGTTTATGGGGACTTTATTTCAGCTCTGCCTCATACTGTGTAACTTGAACCTGGGTTAGGCCAACTTCAAGCCCGCATTATTTTTCCTATATCATGATACCATAATAAATGACCAAATGATAATATTTATTTTTATAAATTTTTGCTATTATCATAGTAGGACTTTTGTTCTATGTCCTATTTGACTTACCTTCTCTCTAATCCAAGAATGTTATTGGGCGAAGAGCTCATTTTGTGATGAACATTGGGGGGACATAGTTCTCTTCTCTTCCTCCCTTTCTTCCTTTCACTCTCCCTCCCTCATACTCAACAGTCCAGAAAAACAGTATTATGGATGAGGAATGGATACATGATAACTAACTCTAGGGATAGGGTACCATTGGGGGTGAGCCAGGTGGGATGTGATCACAGTAGACAATGATCCCTTCTTCCTTATAAAATTTAGCTTCACAGGGGACATCATAGCTGTGAGTTCCTGTAATGAGTTGATGCCTTGGCCCATTTTATCCATCTGATCATCTGTAATTCTTGACCTGAGATATAGGAACTAGCAGACAAGAAGATTCCTTAGGTCTGTGGCAATAGGATACACCTCTCAGACATTCTCTATGTTGGCTGAACTTGGAGCTGGCAAAGGACAGCAACTGAAACCTGGGCCATGTTCCTGGGCATCTAAGGTTTTCCTTGGCCAGAGTTGGTTATTTCCCCTTTCATCACATGTAGCTAGTGACTCTGAGAGCATGTGGATGAGCCACCTAAACAGTAAACTGCCATTGGAATATTGACTGATATTAGAGGATTATGTGGGTTATATGATGAAGTCTTATCAGATTCAGGCTGTGCATGTTTTGTTTTGTTTTGTTTGAACAGAATGAAGTCCCCGAGGTGAAGAAAGAGGAGACTCTGTTGGATCTGGACTTTGACCCTTTCAAGCCTGACGTAGCCTCTGCAGGTTCTGCTGGAGCGACCCACTCTCCCATGTCTCAGGTATGAAGTGGTTTGTATGGTGTTTGGAGACGATATTCCATAAATTTTAATAAGCTGGGAAGGAAGGGTAAAATGGAAACTTTATCAATATCAATTATTCTAAAGTTCCCTCTACCATTAGCTTTCTCTGTCTAGAGCTGGAATAACCATGCATTCCAGTTTTCCCAGGAGTGATCTATCTCAGAGTGATTATTCAGAGTACCTTCGACGGTTCTGTCTTGGTGGCCAGAATACTTCCTTCTCGGAGCTCTTGTGCAGACAGCCAGCAGAAATCATGGGCTTCCTCGGCCTTACTCTCCGGTGTTCATTACTTTAGTGCAGAAGGGAAAGTTCTGCAGTGGATGCTGTGACGGTTAGTGGGTGAGATCCCACAGCATTTCTGTCTGCAAGTTTGAATCGAGAGACACCTCTTTTATATCAACTCATGATTAAATGAATCCATAAGTTGTGGGACTTTGTGTGGATCTAGGACTAAGATTCTTTCAGAATTTTTAAAAAAGGTGACCTTGGTTAAATCTTTAAAGTCTTGATTCTGGAGAAAAAGCATTATGCAGCTAGGAAAGTTGCATGTGCCACTGTGCAACTGTCCTGGCTTCCCAGCGGCAGTAATAATTGAATCACCACACTGTGGAGTTGTCCTGTGACCCAGCTCTAATCACAGCTCTCCTCCGTTGCTAGGAAGTCTGAGGCTGAGGTAACGTAAGGAACACAGCTGCGCAATTCTGCTGCCTCCTTTCCCCTTCACTCAAGGTGACCTCCCTTCCCATCACCTGATCCCATGTTTTCAATCGATGTTCTTGCTGCTAGCAGAACACCTCGCCTTGTGAGCTCTGCTGTGTGCACACAAGCCAACACACCCTTTCATGATCCCAAGGCTTGATAAACGTGACGTTTTAATTGCTGCCTTCCTTTGGAGGAAATACAGTCTGCATTCTGCTGTTAGGAGCTTTAAGAGGCTATAAAGCAAGAAAACATAAACCACCTGGATAATCAGAAAATGCATATTCAATGCAAAGGAGTCCCTGTATGCATACCTGTGGTTTTCAGTGGAGCTGTTTTTTACTCTCCCTCTCTGTCATTGTATAGGTAGATGCTAACCCAGACACCAGCCAGGCTGTGCAGAGATGCAGGGCGGGTGGGGCGGTGCAGTGAGAGCAGGCTCACACCAAGCGCGTGGGTTCAGTCAGAACCACAGGGCCTCCGTTCTGTAGTGCAAACTCTAACGGAGACATCTGTAGTCCCATCTGGAAACTGTCCTGTTCTTAAGATGGGAGTGCCAGATTCTCTAACTTGCTGTTCGCATTTAGTGATTCAAAACAAGTACATAAACACGGATTAGTTCTAGTCACAAAGACATGGGCAGAAAAGGCTGCGGTTACAGGCTTGTACAGGTAGATGCTAACCCAGACACCAACCAGGCTGTGCAGTGAGAACAGGCTCACACCAAGCACGTGGGTTCAGTCAGAGCCTCCTCCTCTCCAAAAACCTGCTCCTCTCCAGAAAACTCCTCCCTCTCTCCTCTCCAAAAAGCCCCTCCCCCTCATCCTTGGCTGGAATCGAACTGCCGGCCCTCCAATCCACAGGCCAACACTCTATCCACTGAGCCAAACCAATCTGCGCTCTTCTCTCTCTCTTTTTTTTTTTTAGGGCATAAGGCAGAGGGTTTTCAAGGGGTACCAAAAGGAGGTATAAAGACATCTACTTCTCTACTTGGACACAGAGCAGTCCAAGTAAGACCCCAGAGGCTTGATATAGTGTACAAGGTGGGGAATTATGATGTGTTCCAACCATAAAGTGAAAGAAAGGATGGAAGGAGATGAGGTTGGAGACAGGGGTCCCAGGCTGTCCTCACATGGAAGTCATTACAAAGCCTCTCTTTCCCACGCTCCCTCTTCACTCTCTTTCTCCCTTTCACCAGGTTCACCTATTTGCTTTAAAATAACCCCTCAATTGAAAATTGAAAACAATTCAGGCCTTACTCAGGATTTTCACCTTAATCCTGAGAACAATAGGAAACCATTTGGCAGACTTAATTAAATGAGTAGTCAGAGCAGGTTTTCTTTTTAAGTTTATTCTTGTTGCTGCATTGAGAAGGAATGGACAAGAAAGATTTGGACAGAGCAGTCAGGTGGTGATAGGTAAGAGAGATCATGGTGAACTGAAGTGGTGGTAGCAATAAGATAGAAGGAGTATTGGACAGGTGTGGAAAGTATTTCTAAGGTAGAATTGATAGGTCTTGCTGATGGGTTGAATGATCTTTTACCCTCTCTGCATCCACCCCCTTGGGCATTTAACCTTGAAGTGTCCTCTGCCTCTGTCTCTGGACTTGACCATGTGCCTGGCTTTGGATAATAGAATGAAGCAGAAGTACAACTATGGTGCTTCTAAGTCTACAACTCTAGAGGCCTTGCTCTTTCCTGTGCTTCTGTCATCTCCATGAGGACATTCCTGAGGTAGCTACTGGCATGGAACAGATACGTGGCAGAGACTTGAAGTGCCCAGTCAGCCCAGTTGAGGCTTGTCTAGATCAGTGGTCGGCAAACTCATTAGCCAACAGAACCAAATATCAACAGTACAACGATTGAAATTTCTTTTGAGGGTCAAATTTTTTAAACTTAAACTATATAGGTAGATACATTGTTAGTAACTTATTTAGGGTACTCCTAAGGCTTAGGAAGAGCCACACTCAAGGGGCCAAAGAGCCGCATGTGGCTCGAGAGCCACAGTTTGCCGACCATGGGTGTAGGGGAAAGAGGAAATAGCATTAGCAATTATTAGGATCTGCACATTTCCTTGAAGATGTGATAAACTGGTATCTCAATACCTTGTTTACATCATTTAATATGTGTGTGTATTAAAGTAATCCCATTCACCATGTTTCAGATAAGGTTTCCTACTTGTATAGCAAAAGGCATATTGGTAGAACTGCGCTATCCAATATGGTAGCACGAGGCACATTTAACTGTTTAAATTTAAATTAAATAAAATTGTGTAAAATGAAAAATTTGGTTCTGTTACACTAGCACATTTCAAGTTCACAGTAGCCACATGTGACTAGTGGCTACCATATTGGACAGCACAGATAGGGAACGTTGTTATCACCGAAGAGTGTTCTGTTGAACAGTGCTGTCCTAAATGCTTCAAAATGCTTATCATTTTATTTCAAGAACATTTATCATCTCAGTAATTGTTGCATGCGTGGGATTTGTATACTAACAGTATTTTTGTCTCTTTGCTTTCAGACATTGCCCTGGGACTTATGGACGGTAAGAGTGCTAAGAATTCTATATGTTGATGTATCTGGGTCCCTGGAAATTTAGCAACCTTGTTATATTTTATTTCATCTGTAATGGAATTAAACAAGGATGGAGTCCCCTGATGGTCCCAGGTATTACAGCACTAGAAATAACGGTGAGGAAAAGGGTGCCCATGTGCCAGACTCCTGGATAAGCAAGAGTTTGAGATGCCCCTTTATGCTTCTTCCTGGGATTATTGGTGGCTAGAAGTGCTGTAGTGGAGGATGTGCACATTTTTTATTGCTTATAGAGCCCAAGAAGAGTATAAATGGGAAAACGTAAAGCATTGGCTACTCTGCATAGGGAACCATTTTCTCTTCTTTTCTTTTCTTTTTTATCCTCACCCAAGGATATTTTTCCATTGAGTTTTAGAGAGTGTGGAAGAGAGAGGAAAAGATAGAAATATCAATGTGAGAAAGACACATAGATTGGTTGCCTCCTGCATGAGCCCCAGCCAGGCCCGGGCTGGGGAGGAGCCTGCAACTGAGGTATGTGCCCTTGACCGGAATCGAACCCTGGACCCTTTGGTCCGCAGGCTGACGCTCTATCCACTGAGCCAAACCGGCTAGGGCCTCATTTTTCTTTTTAATGAAGCATAATCAATAAGAATTTGAGCTTCAGAGCCAGACAACCCTGGATTTGAGTCCAGACTCTATTACTTATAGCGATAGGACTTTGAGCAATTTCTAAAAGTCTTTCAGCCTCAGCTTCTCTCATCTGTAGAGTAAGGGATACCTACCTTATGATACCTACTGCAGAGTGTTATGTGAGGATTGAGAGAGATACTGTTTGTAGAATATTTAGCCCAGTGTCTGGATGTATCAATAAAAGGTAGAAGTGCAAGGATGCGTGCTTCCAGAATTCAGAGCTGAGAAAAAGACGCAAACAGAGCTTTGTGATGGCAGCCTCTGTGGTATGAAATTAGAAGATTGGCTACACCCATACAGAGCCGCACATCCCTCGGGCTAGAGCCTTGGTCTACTACGCTGTCTTAGAACAGCTCTGGCCATTTCGTCTTTAGAACTCAACTTGAGTTTCATGTTTTTTGTTTTTTGGTTTTTTTTTTAGTGATACAGCAACAGGAAAGTTTGGAAGATCTAGCTCTTCATGAGCCTGTGGGCTTCCAAAGTGGCATTGCCACTTTCTTCCCTAAAAACAAAACGCTGGCTATCCCAGTCCCTGGCGCAGGAGCAGGGTTATAGTCTACGTAGGATCCTTAAAGCATCAGGGGAAGCTCTTAAGACAAGAGCTATACTATGTTTGACTTGTATATTTGCAAAAAGGGATGCATGGATTGGTATTCAGGACATTTGGATTCTAGTCTCAACTTTGTGTTAATTTTCATGGAGAGTAAGAGGAAAATGCTACTTTTTTGTTATTCCAGTATTTTATATCTTTACTTGGAGCTATATCATATTTTTCTTTCCCTGCCTGAAAAGGATATGGTGAGGGAGAAAGTATCTTCTATAATGAATATTGACTATTTTGGAGGGCAAACCTGCTAGAAATGGTAGAAGTGACAAGATTGCGAAATAATAGCTCCCTGGACATAATTACTCCGTTTCTTGGTCCTCTCCATCCCCAGTGTTGTTTCTTTGTATCCAGACAAAGCTCGTAGGATGCGGGGGAACCTGAGGAGAATCCTCCATGCAGAGTAGCTAGTATCAGATCGTCCTCCATCCAAAAACCACCTCAAAGGCAGAACCAAGTGCAGGCTGGTTGGGGAAGACTTTACCCTGATATTGTTTCAGAGCAGGTGGTGCTGGGTAATTTCGTGGTTGCTAGAGCTTGCTGCTGTTCTCATGCTGATTTATGGGAAACTTTGTATTTCAGAGTCTGCTAGAGCAACAGTCATGGAATAGCCATAAAACGTTGCTGATATTAGAAAATGGCAGAGGCTTTCTGTATGTTTCAGTGGTATACTGGTAATCTCGACAGTATTGGGACGAAACTCATTCCTATAAAATTTCATCTCAAACCAGTGAAAACCACAGCTGTTAGCAGAACATTGACTCTGGAGAGCATGGGATTTTAATGTATGAGCAATTTTTTTTCTCTTGTCTTAACGATTTTTATTATTACTTTTTTTTTTTTTTTTACTTCTACAGACAAGTGCTGATTTGGTCCAGCCGGTAGGTAAATATCCAGAAAATTCTGGATTTTTAAAAATTTAATCTGCATTATATACATGGTATATTACCTACAATAAGCTTTTTCTTTCCTTGTGGCATTGCTAGTCACAGATGTAACCTTAAGCCACTTATTTAGTTTAATACTCTCTAGTTTTGTGTAACTGGTGCTACCCTACTAAAGAACTTTGTGTTTCTCATCAACTCTTACCATGATCTATTTCATCTTGTGTTTTTTTTTTTTCTTTTGCTGTTCTGCATACTCTAAAGACTGACTCTTCAAAAAGTCTTTCCTTGTGTAACCTGGTCATGGAGGAAACTCCAGAGAGTGGGTTGGCCGAAGAAATTCAAAGATCTCAGATTGACCTAGGCGCATTTATTTGGGGCCCTGATGCTAGTACAGAGAGAGTCAGCCAGAAAACTACGTACGGTGGGTCTCAGGAAGACTCTGCATGTCTCTCTGAAGCAGAGCAAGACATGGGATTACCCACCGGGATGTTTCCTTCTGCTGACGGGCACACTGTAGCCGAACAGGGGGAGCATGTCCCAGGGCCAGCCCCTCCATGCGGAGATGGACAACTGTCTCCAAAGGCCATGCCTGAGACTGAATGTGCCATTGTTGCTTGTATGGAAACGGAGCAGCCTTATGACTTACCTGACTCAGAGATGCCAGCCATGGAAACTGGTGGCCTCATCAACGAAAGTCAAGAAGATCTTAAAAAGTCAGAAGAAGAGGAAGAGAAAGAGAAGACAGAAGATTCTGTGTGGGCAGGTGTGGAGACATGTGGAAAGGTAGACATTGGAGCTATTGCTATCAAGACACTAGAAGGTACAGAGGGATGTGAAGAGAAAGCGTGTGAAAGTACAGGAAGCGGGATGGTTGATCTTCTTAAGACAATAGGAAAGCGAGACCAGGAGACCTTAAAAATCAGTGAAGAGGAAACTAGGGAAGATCTAAGAGTTAGGTGTAAGGAAATTGTAAAGACCAATGAAAGGCATTTTGAGAAAATTGACATATCAGAAAAAGACATGGCAGATGGATTTACTGACAGAGACAAAGTGCTAGATGAGAGGATTCAAGTAATAACAAGTAACTGTGAAATTATAGAAGGCTCTGGAGGCACACCTGGCAATCACACAGATTGTTTGAATCTGCCTCTCCAGACAGACTCTGAGCCTAATATTGAAGATGCCAGTCCTGAGGGATGGGATTTATCTAGAAAAGATATAAAGAAAAATTTATTAGACCCTCCTAACCAGGCTATGGTATATCATTCAGCACAGCGGGGTACAGATGCTGAAGAGATTCAATGTGAGCCTGTGTTACATGCACCTGAAGATGATAGGGATGGAAATCAGGCTGCTCATTTATCAATGAAACATGAATTGGCAGCTCGGTCTAGGACAGATCTTAATTATGCTCTGGAGATGAATGTAAACAGAAGAGACTGGTGTTTGTGTAAGGCAGAAGATTCATTAATAGAGGGGTCTGCAAGTACAGTGACTGGGAACTGTAGTCATACCATTAACTTGCCACGAATCGCGAAAACAGACTCTTGGGGAACAGATCCAGGTCAAATCTTGCAGCCAACTTTGGATTCAGCAATGAATAATACAGATATATTGGAATTCTCTGGTAGACCAGATGGACAAGCAAGTGGATTTTCCAGTTGTCTTGATTCTATTAACCACTGGCTTATCCGTGATATGGGAGGCTTAGATAAATTCTGGGAACATTTAGATATAGTTGAGAGCAAGAAAGGGCTGCAAGTGGACTTACTGGCAGATGTATGTGAGGAACAAGCCATTGATAGCTGCTGGGAACAAAGCCAAGAGACAGTTAGACTTTTGTTTCTGGGAACCTCCCAGAATGTTAGCACCGAGACTTCTACTAGTCCCCAAGATGATGGCAACAACAACTCAGATTTATCTGAAGATGAAATTGCTAATCAGAGATATGGATTGTTATACCAAGAAATTGGGGCTGATAAAGAAGAGGTACTTACCTAGTATGTAGTATAGACTAGACAAAGACTTCTGTAGGTTCTATTTTTCCTAATGTTTCCTGCCCACTTCATTGTCCATCACTGTCTTCTCTGAGGCCTGCCTGTCTCCCTGACAGACTGTCATTCATGTACCTCTTACCTCCTGAAATCTGTGCAAACCAAACACAAATAGGTTGACCAAAGAAAGAAAGAAAGTGCCCTAGCTCGTTTGGCTCAGTGAATAGAGCATTGGCCTGTAGACTGAATGGTCCCAGGTTTGATTCCTGTCAAGGGCAATTACCCGGGTTGTGGACTCGATCCCCAGTAGGGGGCATGCAGGAGGCAGGCAGCCAAATAAATGATTCCTCTCATCATTGATATTTCTATCTCTCTCTCCTTCTCCCTTCCTCTCTGAAATCAATAAAAATATATTTAAAAAAAGAAAGAACAAGAAAAACAATGATTATGTTGGAATTAATGAAAGTCTATTTATCCGTTTACTCTGTTTAATTTTTATTTTTACTGTTCAATTATGAAAAATATGTAGAACATACTAATTTACTGTTTCTAAGTGGTTACTCCAATAAGTACACATGAAGTGTTTCTATCCAAGCCTAAAACTGTAGAATCTAGTGACAGGTGTCATAAAAAAATCTAACAAAATGATGTTAGAAAAATACTAAAAATACTTCTTCTAGAGTCTATCAATATCCTGGGAAAAAAGAGCTATTTAATCCCTTATGGCTCTTCTCCAGAATAATCTTCTCATTATTAAGCAAGTGGGTTTTTGTTAGCACTGAGCCATACACCAGCATTAATTGTAAAAGTAGCTTTCTTTTTTCTGGTCAGCCTATTTAAAATAATACAGTTCAGCCATTTACATTTCCTAAGCACTTACACCTCTTATATTATTTTAAAAATTATGGTGGTCATTATTTTCCAACTTATCTAATGGGCATTCACTGATCCTACAAAATTGATGAAAAAATAATGTACTCTGATTTCTATTTCTGTTTAGGCTTCTGATGGTTCATTTAATGGATTCACCCAGGTAAGTAATCAACTTGCTGGCAAAATCCATCTGTTGAGAATAATGCAAATTTTTAAAACAAGGACCTTAATGTCACTGGTATGGCGTAATGATTGTGTCAGCACAAAATTCCACTACTTACAAATTCAGTAATGGAAACAGTAGTATTTTCAACATTGTACGGGTGTTTTGACTATTAAACGGGATGTGTCCAGCAGCCTAGCACATATTGAGTCTTCCATGATTGTAGTTAGCTATCATTAATATGGTTAGCTATACTGTGGGCTCCTGCCTTCTACTGATTCCTCTACTAGAAACTAGAAGTTGGCCTGATCTGAGAGATCCACCAGGTTCAACTGTTTGAAAAGAGGAGATGGGATCCTTTTGAACTGATAAAATTGGTTTTTAGAAAATATGATACATTTTAGGAGCCTTTTTATAAAGATTCATATGAGACATACTACACAGAACCATCCCTCTTCAGTGGTTCTCCAGAAAGGAGCAAGTGGAAGATCAGATATCATAGGTTGGCTCTCTAAGGCAGTATTTTCCTTGCAAATTCATGGGAGAGGAGCCACAAGATGGACGGTCCCATTCACTGTATATGTCCTGACAGATGCACAGCTGTAACCCACATAACAGGCAGACCACTTGGCTATGGAGCTCATGGATTAAGGTCTGGAAACCTTGAAGGGAGACTTCAAACAGAAGCTTGTCTGTGTTTAATGCTTTGTCTCAGAATATTAGACATGAAAAATTTCAAATTTTAACAGTTAGAATTTCTTCATTCAAAAGTTTGATTACTTTCCCCCATGTTACCTATAAAAAGATAAAACCCACTCACACACACCCACACCCAAATACAGATAGAGACAAACATAAAGGATTGTGCATTGCTTCCATCTGCATACAACTCTTGAAAGTTTGAGTCATAAGAATTATTCATTTCTCATTTAAAATTTTTTATTTTTATCAGTTATAACTTAAAGAGTGCAAAATTTTATAAGTGTTATTTTTCTTTTTAAAATATTTTTATTGATTTCAGAGAGGAAGGGAGTGGTATAGAAAGATAGAAACATCAGTGATGAGAGAGAATCATTGATTAACTGCCTCCTGCACGCCCCCTACTGGGGACCGAGCCCACAGCCTGGGCATGTGCCCTGACCAGGAATCAAACTTTGATCTCCCAGGTCATATAAGTTAACCCTCAACCACTGAGCCACACAGGTGGGGCTATAAGAGTTTTTTCTTTAAAAACTTCTGATCATCATATTCCCTCTCCATTTTGTGCTTCTTAGAGGTAAATATTTCACCACATTTTTTTAACAGATGGTTTCACATCCCCCAACCCCTCCTGCCCCCCATATGGATGCATGGCTTTCTTATAATGTTACTCTTTGATTTCTAAAGCATTATCTATTGACTCATTCTCTGGAAGGTAAGGACATAAAAACACTTTCGTCGTCCTACCTCCACAGTTCACCCCTCCCCTCTGCTTCATGCCCTTCCTCTGATATTGTTCCACCATAGCCATCCGGACAATCTGTGGCAATATTATAGTTAAGATATAAATACTATTAGTGCCCAAGTCTTGAAGTTTTTTAAGTTATGGTTCATCATTAACCTGTAGAAGTCACACTGAGGTATGATAATAAGATTGAGTTTCCAACATTTGAAAAGTTTAAATTTGTGATTTACAGCCACTAAATTCTAAGTCGGTATAGATGTCCAGAGGACAAGCTGGAGACCAAAGACACCCTGAGGACACTGCCCTTTATTTAATGTCTCTTGTCATAGCCTTGTATTCTGCTAGCTCAGATTTATATTTAGAATAACTACTGTTAAAATTACTCTTTTCATTTTTTTGCTTTTCTGACTATAATACAAAGAGACTTTTTAAAACTTTATAGTGTGCTTATTGACACAGTTGATGAGAACTAATTTAAATGATATCTTCGTTGTTTTATAGCAAATTAGCTAGAACCTTAATACTTTTAATCTTTTATTTTCTCCTTGATTTTCAGCCCCAGGACACTCCCTTATTTACAATGCAGACAGACCAGAATATAATCTGCAACTTGGTAAGTTGATTTTGGTTTGTGTTTTGGGGAAGTTGATAGTTACTACCAAATGTTCTAAGGTTGATAAATCTAAGTTATCTGGAGCTTGAATATTCAGAATGTAGTTTCTACAGCCCCTCTTTTCTAGGAAATAGGAAGGAAAGCTTCTGAAAAATCTCAGTGTGACTTTGAATGTGGCTGCTTCTATTTATAAAGGCACAGAGAAAGCACAAATCCGGTCTCCTAATTATGGGCTTCAGTGGGACGCCATCAATCCATGAAGGACATGGATGTTTCCACGTGAATATAACTTAAGCTACAGGATTGAGAATGAAATCACCTCAGAAATTCATGTTTCACAATAGATCGTTGCTTTTTCTTGAACCTGAAACTACCTCATTTCTTATCTCCAGTCTTTTTTCGAATTGTAGAAGTAATGCATAGTAGAGACGTGATTCCTACTTTGAGGAGAAATGAGATGAAAGAAAAGATTAGCTAGAGAGTGAGTAGGAAGCAGAGTTACTCTTATCTTTGAGGAAATCCTACATGATGGATGTTGCCGTTAGCATTTCTAGCTCAGTAATTAAGTTAAATGATGAAATTTGAGTTATATCACTTGTCAGTTTGTCATTGATACACTACAGAGGATTTTGAATCTTTGAGGATTAGTACACAAGGGCTATTTGTAGCTCACTGGCTTTCCATGGAAAAGTGTATAATTATCCCAGCTCCTGGCTTTTACACTTGGAGCTTGGAATTGGATTTAAGTAGAATGAATTTTTGGTTTTAGATGATTATATTTCTAAGTAAGGAATTCTATTCTGAGAAGTTTGTCTTAACAGTTCATTTGATATGTTTTCAAAGGCAAGTGTGTCTCTAATAGCTTGTCATGGATCGTCATACTTCTGCCTTTTGGGTAACCAAATGAAAGGTAGAATCTGTGTGGCTTTCAAATAAAGATTGAAATGTTTAAAATACAAATTACATTGGTGTTAATAATGGTACCAGAAAGACTCATGTTTTATGTTTATTGGTGGTTCTCAGCCTGGGTGATGATAGTGATACTGGAGGATGAGATTTCTCACTGTCAGTTGTGAATGGGTTAAGAAAAATGGGGAAATACTGGTATAAAGGAAAGACAATGTATCATAAACTTACACCTATTACTTTGATGTCCAGCTGGTGTAGCTCACTGGTTGAGCTTCAATCTATGAACCAGGAGGTCACAGTTTGATTCCCAGTCAGGGCACATGCCTGTGGGCTTGATCCCAAGTAGGGGGCATGCAGGAGGCAGCCAATCAATGATTCTCTCTCATCATTGATGTTTCTATCTCTCTCTCTCTCCCTTCCTCTCTGAAATCAATAAAAATATTTTTTAATTAAAAAAAAGTCCAGTCTTAGAACCCAGTGTTTTTAAAGTTTCTCTGAGCATCTTCCTACTTCTGACAGCTGGTTCAAGGAACTTCTTGCCTGCCCTTCCCTTCTCTTGATATGTGGTCTCTGAAGCAGGTATCTTCCACCTTCTTTCCACTGGGGAACCCAGCTTGTCATGTCGAGCAATGCATGTGCTGCAGGCATTGGCTCTCCCTGTGGGGAACTAGGAAAGCACAGTGAACCTGCATCTCCTGGTGAGATGTGATTATACAGGATGTCCCCAGGAGCAGGGCAGTTTCCCAGCATTTGATCACTGGCTGTTCTGAGCGAGGTGGAGGTTGAAGTTGGTAGTCAGTGGCACACCTTCCCAGACTGCATTGTACAGCCCCACAGCACATTGTTTGAGTGCTGGTTTAAACCCTTGGAATCTGCCCACCTTGCCCGGGGCTCAGAATTACCTCCTTGGTCCTTTGCAGTTCTCACAACATTAGTTCTCCCAAGATTGGAGAAGTAAGACTAGAAGGCAAATGACATATTGGAATGTGACTAGACTCTTAGCCCCATCTTTGATCCATCCCTCTTCCTCTGCATTGACTCACCTTCCGTCTTCTCACAGAAGAGATCGGAAAGTCTGGGCCAAGTTTACACGACTAGTTTTGCTCTAAAGGAATATTTCCATTTCTAAGACTCTGAATTAAACCATTGCGGCATCCTGCTGCCTTAATAAATGTGAAGAGTATCCTCTCCGCTAATGTATGATGATGGCTAATTGAGCAAATGATAGGAAATCATTACCAGTGCTCCTAACTGGGGAGCGCAAGGATTCCGCCCATTTGCAATGTCTGTCAAGGGATGCAGCCTATAGGAGAAAGGGGTTGAACGAGGGCACAGTTCTGATGCCTGTTTTAGATCTTTTTCTGAGATATCATTCCCACTTTGCCTGGGTTTTCCTTTCTATCTTGACAGAATATTTACAATTTTACATTACCTTAGAAGGAATAGAAGGGCGACTTGTGTTTCCAAAGTTGAGTAGCTGATTTTATGTACAGTCATGTTGTATCCTGTTCCATCCTTACTCATCATTCAGTGAGTTATATTCACTTACCCCCCCTGAATTTTAGGTGTTAGGTTGCAATGCTATGTTGTAATACTGGTGTGATATTATAGGGGAAATGTTGTGACTTGTGGGGACATATTTGGTTCGACGTCCTTTTCATCCTATGCCTCTGTTGCGTTGTTTGATTTCAGCAAGCAAATGCAATTCGACTCATTTATAAACTCACCCTACTTATCTTGCCTCACATAAAGCTACTTCAGACTTCCAAGAAACCCAGGCTCTGATGCAAATCGTTTATTCATGTTAAGCTATCTTAACTTTTATTTTAAGGCACAATGGTATGTATTTAACTCATCCTTTGAAACTTCTCTTGGCTCCACATTGGGCTTCAGACTTCTTCATCTCATAGAATCAGCTCCCAGAGGGACAGCCCACCTGCAGGTAGAACGCTTCCTGATTTGTCAGGTCGCCCTGCCTGTCCTTCGTGTGTAGGTCATTTGATAGCATGCTCTCAAAGAAAATCATCTTGACTTACAGTATCTGCTGCTATGAAAACTTGTTCCATTATGAAGGTCATTCTTTTGAGAGAAATCTTTTCCCATAAAGAACTTCTGAGAGTATATTAGTTGAATTTTATTTTATTCTCTCTTAAAAATTGTATTAGAATACCTCTTAAAGGTTGTAAAAGCACATAAAATATCAAATTTCTGCACACTTATCTACCAATGTGTCCTTCCTTTTATTCTGCCCTTTAAAGAGAAAGGCACTGTGATCATGGCGTGCATCGCAGTGGAGGATTTGGTGGGGGCCACAAGACAAATACTTTGTTTATCTAACGCTAAGCTATTCATTATTCATTTCCTCTAATCTCAGCATAACTTCCCCATCACTTCCCCTTGGAACTTGTCATGATGAGCTTAGGTGGGGGCAGAGAGCTAAAGGTGACTTTTGATTGCTTATGGTGAGTATCTGACAGTTACTGATTTCTCCACTCAGAGTATTTACTGGTGACTTCTTGGTCCTCTAAAAAACACTTGAAAACTCTTACAGTTTAAATGTTCTGATGGAAAAAATCTTAATGTGCCCTCAAATGGTCACCCATGCAATCAAAAAAAAATCCTGCTAAATAAATATGCTTATTTATATTAATCAGAATTGAAAAAGAGAACATTTTCAGTAGCCATAGTCACATGCACTGGCTGTGGTGTTTTTAACGGCCCACTGTTATTTAATATTGCTAATTTTAAAACCAAAACAGTCTAGAGCTAAGAGACTGTAGGAGCTGGAATCAGGATGACGTCTATGCAACAGGGATGAAAACCTCCCTGTTTTCCACACAATTAGAAAGGTCTAATTGATACCATGGAGATTACCATCCTGTGCAAGTTAATGCATTTTGATCTCCATGTTGGGATGACCCTTCCATTTTCTGGTGTGATGCAAAGAGGTAGAGCTGGGAGTTCCCGGAGCTGTGTGTGCCCTGCGAGCTCTTTCTCACTTCTTCCAGCCGGCAATGGGAACTCCAAGTGCCATTTTAGCATCTCTTACAGATGCCCTAGGAAGGGAGTCGCCTAAATATTGTAAGTACAATGAATAGCCAAAATGGTAAGTCTTGTCCTAACTTCAAGGGAAATGACAGTCCTCGATGATGGCCAAAAAAAAAAAAAGGAGAGAAGTTGGTAGCATTCATTCCTAGACTTTCCAGTTCGGTAAAGGCCCATGATGCCAAGTATAGGGCTTTTTCCCAGCACAGATTTGGTGAAGCTAGTTGCCTGTGGGATGATGAAGAAAGTCTTAATGGTCCAATATTCTGTACTGCTATCTATTCATATGTTCATCTTTTTCCTCTAACTCTCAAAACAAACAATGAAAGGCTGAGTCTGAACAGGCTCCACCAGCAGAGCCGAAAGCAGAGGAGCCCCTTGCCGCTGCACCTGCTGAGGACACCCAGGCTGAGGAGCCAGAGGGGGCAGTGGTGAGCACCACCTCCCTCCACCCACCGCCAGCCACCCTGCCACAGCCATGCTCATCTCATGATCCCATTTCTCCCTTCTCATCCATGCTTCACTTGAGCTAAATCACCTCCATACCTGACAGGTTCAAATAACCTTTGTTCCTTTGACAGTGAAACTCTATTCTCTTTTATTTTTGAAAAGAAAGATATCCAGAGAGCTGATCTTATCTACCTTCTTTAAAAAGAAAGGGTGCCTTGATTCTTTCTGATACTCTCCCATTCGTGGTAGGTAGGTTGTAGAAATTGCAAATAATCAAAACTACTAGTAATGTGGTGCTCTACCTGCGACTGCTAGAGATGTGCCTTCAATTAGAGACCAACCTGCAGGTGATAAACAGAACGATAATAATTTCGTTGGTTGCATCTACATATTGATTTCTTGTAATATTAGCTGTGTGGTTGGTTAAGGCCAATGAAACCACACCTCATTGCAAACTGGGATGAGCTCTATATGCACCATGTGGAATTGGATTGTGTAACACCTGTGAAAGCATAAACTAATACCAAGGAAAATGTAATTCAAAATACCGATGGGGAGTGAAACACTTACTTAAGAAATGCAGTTAAAATGTCTCCCAAGACTTTTAATCGGGGTGCCGTTTACTACAGCCTTTATAGAATCTGTTCAAAGAAGGCAGCCAATCTCCGTTTCCCAACATTACATAGCCTGGATGAAATAACTAGAGAAATGAAAGTGGTGTTTCTTGCTGTTGGTATTTTAGGTCATTTTGCTGGGGAAAAGAGTAGGTCATCTATCAAATTTACAGTTTATTAATTAGTAGAAAAATAAATAATAGGGCAAGATAGTGATGAAAAATACAAATGAAGAATGACTCAAGAAACAATTTTATTTTCCATGGAAAGACGTAGACTGGACCAAGTCCTGGAGGAGAAACAAGAAATGTGTCCTGCAGACTGAGTTCCTCCTGGGAGTGCCTCTGGCCGGACTTAGACTGGGGAGTGCTGACTCCCTGCTTCTGAGCTGTCACTCCCAGAATCATGAGAGATCGCAGTAACCCAATGCCAATGGGGCATTTTCACCTGGTGTCAGAATAGGATCTGTCCACCCACCTTAGCCTTAACAGAGGAAAGGAAAGACACAGTTGGATTTTTGACTACAGTTTAATTAAGAAGATAATTGATTTTAAAATTGTATGGAACCTGGTTGGTGTGGTTCAGTGGTTGAGCATCCAGGAGGTCAAGGTTCGATTCCCAGTCAGGGCACATGCTCAGATTGTGGGCTCAATCCCCAGTAAGGGGTGTGAAGGAGGCAGCTGATCAATGGTTCTCTCTCATCATTGATGTTTCTATATCTCTCTCTCCCTCTCCCTTCCTCTCTGAAATCAATAAAAATATATATTTAAATATATTTATTTATTTATTTATTTTAAAAAGCATATGGATGATACCAGGGAGTTAAGAAGATGTTGGTTAGGTTCAGATATTGATTTATAAATTACTTCAATTCTGAAAAGTTCTCATCAAATTTTTATTTTGAATAGCAGCCCAGACTTCATCTTCACCTGTGCTTTTAAACAACATTGATTCCATGACCCAGACTATTCGACGTAAGGCTTACTGTTCATAATGCCCATGATTTTGAACAAGGGTATTTGATGTAGTGCTATTGATTGGAGATGTGAAATAGACAAATTCATGTGTTAAATACAAGCTTGACAGTTGATTCTCCATGATCCTCTCTCACACCCATTCTAAGTTTTTTTTTTTTCATAATCCAAGTTCATTGTTTTTCCAAAATATAATATTAGTAGCTACCAATTATCAAATACCTACTATATCATATCGACTGTTACATGAAGATTATAAACTTTTTAACCACAGGTGATATTTAAAATATTTAATAAACTTTATGGTACAAGCACCAACCATCACTAAAACCAGCTTCCTTAATGTTGGGTACATAGATATTTGGAAGAATTCTTCATTCTCAAAAATCTTATCCCCTACAGATAGGTGAACTTCAAAAAAAAATAAAAATTTTAGATTCCTTGTGAAGTACAAGGCAAATTGGAAAGTCGTATGAAGGATTCAGGCACCTGCTGAGACCCAGAGATGATGTAAGACAGCACATACAGAGCTCACTTTGTGAGCCACCCTCTCCAATGAGAAAATGTTTATTTTTCATCCTTGTATCGACTGAAAAATAATAATAAAGGGGGAAGCTTGCAGCAGTTCCATTTTCCTAAGCTCATTAAAAGTGGCTCTCTTCCCTGTTTTTAAAATTGGCACCCTTGGATGAAATCAGTCCTTCCTCATGCTCTCTCCTCTACTTAAGAAAGTAAGATCATATAGAATGTATTTTTGTTCTCTAATGTAGACTTACAGCTTCTTCTGGTCACAGTAACCGAAGGTACATTAAAAACTATGTTTTCTAAGGAAGGTCTCTTGCCTTGCTAGATGTGTGATGTTTGGTTGTAAAACCATAAAAATCTCCACTGTGTCCCAACATCTATTAAGAGGCTGGCCGTAGCTGTCATGAGCCAGGACTGGATTGGCATGGCCTTTCGAGGGCATCCTTTCTGCCGCTGAAATGCCACCACACAGTTATTACTTTGAGTCCTGACAGAATTCGTTTTCTGGAAGGTGAAGTTTGTGGCGTGTGTGTTTTTTTTGAAAGAGGCCAATGTAATTTCAAACACAGGAGATGTTAGCAGTGGTGCACAAAGAAACCAGGGGCTTTCAAGAAAACTTTAGTTATTACATTTGTGTTTGTTGTTTTATTCCCCCAACAGCTGACATTGCCTTTAGTTGGTCCTGCACAAACATGTTTCCAGTATATCTGCAAGACGCATTTTAAAAGCCAACACTTGCTGCTCCTGCAGATGGTTCCACATTCTATAAGTAATGACCCCTCCCCCGTTGAGGCTGTTCTTAATGGCTGCTTCCACAACCAGTACTTGCTCAGTCCCCTGAGTCTGCAGTACACAACATTTACCTTTGCTTCAAAAGGCAAATCCGCTCGTCCCACACACTTTGCAAATAAATCTCCAACTAAAAGGTTAATGTTTTAATATGCATTGCTATTAGATGTTCTTCCATGACCTTAAAGGCCAGAATAACCAAAAATTCATTAACCGTGGCATTTCTGCGGCAGACTTTAATTTTTAAAGAAAGTCTGGAGCTAATGCTGACAGATGTTGCCATGACAACACTGCCTCCAGCAGCTGAGTTGTGCTGGGATCTGGCTGCTGAGGGTTTATGATGGGACTATAGGCCATACCAGGAAAGTAGATTGAAAAAGATGATTGAGATGAAGGTCAGGGGGAAAAAATATCCACAAAGTTTCTTATTGGAAAGGAAGCGCATAGATGTATCAAATGAAGTGTGTAATACGAGGTGCCATCTTTGAAAGGAACACCAGCGGCGGCCGGCGCTCCCTGGGAGAACTCACCCTGCGGTCATGCTGAAGGAAAACGATGGCCTTCGGTGCTTTAAATATAGTTCATGTGAAGAGGAGTGCTAGCCGCCAGCCTGGTTTTCATGCAGGAATCTTCTCTTGGGGCCGTAATGACCCTAGTTGTATCTTGGGCTTTTCTTTAAAATGGATCCTGAAGAAAAATTTGTAATTTTATACAATTGCTAGGATGTTCAGACAAGTCAAGAGCGCAAGTTGGATCCAGAATACGACATGGGCAGAAAAAGCCAGGGTGGCCTGTAGCCACAATTCCCACTGGGACATGATCTTTCTTTGTTACATCCCAGTGGGACTCTGGGGGTCACTCCAGCTCCAATGCTAATTGGTGGAAGAATCAGAACTAAACCTCGGGTCTCCAGCTCCACCTCCAGTGCTACTGCCACTCTATCACATTTCCCCACTGTAAAATGCAAGCATTGGGCCCTCCCTGGTTTGGCTCAGTGGATAGTGCATCAGCCCGCAGACTGAAGGGCCCCAGATTTCATTCCGGCCAACGGCACATACCTTGGTTGCAGGTTCGATCCCGATGTGCCTCTCTCACATTGATGTTTCTCTATCTCTCCCCCTCTCTTCCATTCTCTCTAAAAATCAATGGAAAAATATCCTCGGGTGAGGATTAACAAAAGTAATAATAATAATAATAATAATAATAATAATAATAATAATAAAAAATGCATTGGGCTAGATGAGCCCCAGGGCCCTTCAGCTTTGGGAACATATTCACCTCTAGCTTGTAAACATAGTTGTGTGTGTCCAAGTGCCGCATGTCTAAGCGTCCCCGGTTGTAACTGTGTTGTACAGTGGATAGAGCCAGGAGAAGATTGGGTCACCTTCTATTCCATGTCCCCATTCTGTACATATCTTTCTAAACAATGAAGTCTACAGGCCTAGTTGCAAAAATAACGTAGTGAAAGTCTATCCAGCCAATCTTGATTTTTTTTTTTAATCATAATTTGCTATTAACTAAGAGGGATTTTATGACATGTTTGCTTAGATGCTCAAATGCTACATGTGTTTGAAGAAAGATTTTACTTGTAATCTCTGAATCTCATTTTAAGGAGCAGCATTCCCAGCATGTAAGTGAATGCGCTGGCTGTTTGTAAGAACACACTCGAGTTCTTTGTCGAACGCCCCTGGTTGGTGTTCGGAGTTGCCAGTAGGAAGCAGTGGGTCCTTGGAGGTGCTCAGGTCTCAGGACCCCTGTGGAACTCTCATTGTCGACTTGGATGTGGGTTGGTGTGAAAAATCACAGAATTTAAACGGTTCCGATTCCAGTTAACTGGCTGCGTGAGTTACTTCAACTCTAAGTATTATTTGACTTGTCTAGGACAGTGGTTCTCAACCTTGGCTGCACATTAGAATCACCTGGGAATCTTTTTAAAATCCTGATTTCTGGGCCTCATCCTCCGGAAATTCTGTTTCTTTGTGACTAATGTTGTGCACCCCGCCCCTCCCCCCCCCCCCCCCCAATAACAAAGAAACAGAATTTCCGGAGGATGAGGCCCAGAAATCAGGATTTTAAAAA